GGGTATGTTTCTAAAGAAACTGTGGTGCAGTGTCAGTGGTAGAGTATAACTGGGTAATATTGAGAGTTACTGACAAATATAAAATACTAGGACGAACCGTGGAACAGACATGGAGCGGCTTATAAGATCACTTGCTCCGACTGCCACGCCTCCTACATCGGGGAGACCGGCAGAAACCTCACAACAGGATTGACTGAACACAAGCAAGCGACAATGAAAGGTGATGTCAACAACCACTTTGCTAACCATCATTGACTCACGAACCACACTTTTGAGTGGTACTCTACGCAATGTCTAACCTACAGCACTAACTACTGATTATAAAATAAATAAATAAATAAAAAACTCAATAAGATGAACTCAAGTGTTATTAAGTAGAGTGAGTCAGATACGAACCTTGTAGTCTTGAATGGTGCGAAGAAATATTTCTGGGTCAAATCTTGTAAGGATGACCACCTTGTCACCAGAATAGAGGGCCAGACCCATGACAATAGTAAGGCCGTACGTGTGAAAAAAAGGCAGCACATTTAACCATGTTCTTATTACCGGCGAAGGACCATCTCTAGTCAGCAAACATAATTGCGCTACCTTGTTGTAATGCGTGATGACCACACCCTTAGAAATACCAGTCGTGCCGCTTGAAAAAGGCAAAGAAACTGGATCCTCTTTTGGGTTGATTTTCACGTTGCTAGGGAAAGCTGTCCCATCGTCTAATAGAAGAGACGCAATCGATTCACAACCTTGCGCCTTGCCAATAACTATAACAGAGCGGAGTTCTTTCAATACGCCGGCTCTGAAAGCCCCCTCTGCAAGAGAAGGCATGGTGATGAGGTATTTTGCCCTGGAGCTGGTCAGCTGACGAGCGAGGTCCTGGGGAGAGTACTGTGGATTGATGGTAGTGTTGACACCACCGAGCCGCGCCACGCCATGGAAAATGATTGGATATTCAATCACATTTGGAAGATAAATGGCCATCACATCGCCTTTCTGAAATCCTCTTCTGGCCAAAGCAGAACTAAATCGATGAGTCAAGTCTTTGATTTCATTGTACGAGAGCGATCTTCCGGACTCTCCGTCAACCTGAAAGAGGAGAAACAAAAACCTTATCAGAAGAAGGGAAAGAGTTTAGCGGGTTATTATCAAAGAAAAGAAAAGAAAAAAAAAGAGCTTTGACTCATGGTGGGTGACGTTGCCACACCCTTGTCCCCAGCGCTTCTCTGTTACCTGAAAACGAGACAAACTATGACCTGCACCCTAGTCTACATGGGTTGTCCAAATTTGAGTAGAGAGAGGAGAGGAGGGTGAGCGGAGGCGGGGGGGGGGGGGGAGGATAACCCTTTTGCTGCCTAGAACTCATACCTCAGTCTGTCTAAAAGTCTCTAAAACTTTCAAAAATAGTGGATTCGATAGGAATTGGACCTACTTAAGGAAAATTATCATTTGAGGGAAACAACAGAATACTTACTTAGCTAGCAACAAAGAAAATCTTTGACCGTGAGGTCATCCCCCCTTTTTTCCGTTTAGTGTCAAATGCGTTTGGTGATATTGAGTCGGTCGGTTGGATTGAATAAAAAAAAAATTAAAAGAAAACCCAAAAAAAGAATTACAAGGCTCCAAATAGGAGGCCTGGTACCCCAGCATCATTGCTGTGGAGCTGTGGCAACAACAAAACAAGACATGCACCCAAAATAAATATGGCAGAAACGTTAGTTGATGTTACTGTTGAAAAATTAAGACTACGTAGGAAAAAGGATCCTTGAGCCTGTATATCAAACATGTAAGTCTACGTTCAAGATAACGAATGACTCCAGACTGGGATCTGTGCAAGTTTACCGTATAGTAAAATCGACAAATATTTGTAGCGAAATCCTAATCATCCTCTTCCCATGGTCAGTGAGGATGTTATGTCGCAATACTTGATCACAAGCGCGCTGTACTCTGCAACGTACTTGTTCACCGGATTTTTACTGACTTGCGAGCGAAAATCTACTTTTGGAATATGAAATCACGAAAATCGAAAACTTAGAAATGTAATTATTCATCAAAGGAAGAATCTTACAATTGCTGTCCTGTCTCCGTAATTGCCAAACTTTGAGAGAACGAAGTCCGGCCATGATATATTATCAGGAATCTGCAGGTCTGGATACTTGCTTCTCAATACCGGCATCCTTGTTCTGATCCTCTTTTCTAACCTATAGGCTATGAATAGTTTCCTATGAAGAATGAGAAAAAAGACTCGTTAACAGTGATACGACCTCGACTGCCAGCTCGTGATCACGAGGAATTAACATAAGTTGTCATAAGGTGTCGTCTTGTCTGTCACGCAAGACGCAAATGTAACGCACGCTTAATTGTTCTTTCGAATGCACAAAGGTGAGCGAATTAAAACAATTTATAAGAAGGAACGATGATCCCCAAAACAGGAAAGGGAATACTGAAAATTTAAAAGCTATACAGCCACTAGTATTGGAAAAAAATAGCATTGAAATTGTATGACCGGGGATATAGCAAATGTTTCGTTTAATAAATAGGCGTTGCCTCGTGTTGACAGATTTATTCGATGACAAGAATCGTGATTGACATTAATTCAATAGATTGATTTAAAAGCGTTAGATTATTATGTTTTAAGTCAGTTTTTCAGCAGAATCGAAGTGAGAAAGAAGTTATTTTGTTATCGTTTTTCTGTCTCTAAATCCGCTTACCTGGAGAATCTGCTAACCCGTAAAGTGAGGCTGTTGTAACGACCCGCCACAGAAGTAAGTTTATATTGAAGTTTTTGAATTTAGTTACAAGATAAAGACTTGATTTGCGTTTGTTCTAATTGCGAATTATAAATGTATTTCTTTTAGATCGAATAATTATTAAAGCTTGGCTTAATATTATACGGTTTGTGGTGGTCATTTGATCCAACCAGTTCCGAGTAAGGAAACAGCAAAGATCTGAGCCGTAAAAAGTTCAGATATATCATTCCATTTCCTCGGATTTTCTCGGCTGAAATAGCTCGTTTCCTGGTGAAACTATTTATAATTACAAAAGAAAGGCAGCATATTCTGGACCTTGAGTAATACAACAGAATGACGGGACGGAGAACGGTAGAGCGGTGGAAGGGTGAAACGGTAGAAAGGTAGAACGGTGAAACGGCAAAGGTGAAATTATGGAGCGGTGGAACGGTGGAGTTCCACCGTTCTACCATTCTACCTAGTAGTTCAGTTCTGTCATCATTATCAGGGGTGCATATAGACTTAAGTAGCCTGTCTTTAGGTACGGCGTGCAATCCGCTCAGGAATTTAACCCCACGGTGGAACGGTAGAACGGTAGAACGGTAGAACGGTAGAACGGTAGAACGGTAGAACGGTAGAACGGTAGAACGGTAGAACGGTAGAACGGTAGAACGGTAGAACGGTAGAACGGTAGAACGGTAGAACGGTAGAACGGTAGAACGGTAGAACGGTAGAACGGTAGTACGGTGGATCAGCGGATCAGCGGATCAGCGGAACGACGGAATATCTTAAGACGCAGAATGATGGAATATCCTAAAACGCGGAATGTATATTTGTACAAAACAAAATTCCCAAAAATGGGATTGCAATAAAGTAAGAAAATTATTTTTAATGTACATGCGGGCGAAATTAAAGGAGGCATAGGCAGGAGCCCTGGCATAGGTAACTGTTGATGGAGCTTAGAGGATTGGGGAGCCATGAGGCTTTCGAACTAGCCCCTTTTAATTGTGCTATACCGGTAGCCACATGCAGGCTTTGACTGTCTATTTTTTTTTTATTTCGTCGAAAAGGAGGGATTGCTTGTAGTCTAGACCCTTTCCCAGCCAGTCGCTAGAGCAACAGTGAAGGGCGACGACAACATATGATTTGTTTTTCTTCGACACGCGCCACGGACTAAAACAGGAAAGGGGACTTCAGAGTCTGATTGGACACATGGCCGCTAATAATTGTGCAAGGTCAAAGAACAATTTCAGAGACAATAACTTTGTTGCCATTAGGTCATTGAAGTGTCATGTGTACCCTCTATGAGAAAAAACTTGAAAATTTTCTTCGTTCTTAGAGTGTTTTATTTGCTTTGTTTCTTTCCGTCTACTGACAATGCCGTAGCGTGGGGAGGGGCCGGGGGGGCCCGGGCCCCCCCAATAAAAATTTCCCGGAGGAGCATTCCCCCGGACTCCCTAAAACTTCGTGACTTTGGCGCTCGTGGTGGGCCCCCCCAATAATTTTAACCCTGCTACGGCACTGACTGAGCATATTTTTGTCTACTCTACCAAAGTTAACAGTAAAACTACAACTCAATCAGTCTTTTATCCCAAAGCAAGAGAATACAAATTAAGAGAACCTATCGCCATGACCCAGTTAAAGTCTATTTTAAATGTCGCGCCTCGCTGGGAAGTTACTCTTATTGCTAGCTCCCCTAATAATGAGGTCAACGATCTCGATATCATCTGTCGCTACGGTTTCTGGTCTTAAAGTTTTAAATTAATTTCAAACTAAAAGTTTTAAAAACTGAATCCTCTCAAATTTATAAATGTTTGGCTGACCATTTGAATACTTTCCTTTGTTGATTCACAGGCATACAGATGTTTGAATCTACAAAATAATCGCACTAACTGTAGTTTTGGCTAGCTTAGCGTCTACTAGTGTATTTTATTTTTTTCAATTTCTCGCAACATAGAAGATAATCAATGTCACTTTGTTAAAATTCAAGCAAGATCAGACGACTAATTTGTCGAAGGTGGTTCATTTGTGCCCCAGCTGTAAGGCATAACTGTCTTGCGAAGGAAAAGTACGCTCCAGTATGGAGAGATTACAAACTGCCAGTATGTATGTCATTGGTTCTCTACCATAAAAAACAATTCGACTGCAGACACCACTATTTTAAGAAACTACCCATTCCCGGCTCCCTTTCTCAAATATCGATAAGACAGGAACCCCTTTTTTCTAGGAATGCCGCAAGCTTCCGCGCGGTTTGAAAAGAAGGCTAGGTTACTATTTCTACGGCAAAGAAGGGTGATATGGAAGATAAATGTTGAAGAGCGGCAAGGAAAATGGCGAAGAGTCTGTTTAATAAGGCTGTAGAGGACGCAGCATTAAGTATTTCTTTGCGTCAAGATGGATCCAGGAGTTTTAAAGGTACCCGACTGCATAGATTTTTATAGATACAAGTCTAATTTTGAAAACCAACTATGGCTATTGGTAGTCAATCGATGGTAAAGTCGATTTTCAACAGCTGAAGAACCATTTTAATTTGCGTCTACTTTGTGATAATCTGAGTTTTACTTGAACAGCAATAACCCTTAAGACCTCGCAATGTTCTTTTATGTGAACAGCAAAATAAACAGGTCAGCAGAGCACATCGAATTCAAGTTACCGGAAGGAAAACCCCTTAATTCCTTTTTTGAATACACTACATCTAAGTTATAGTTTAACTGGTTACTTGCTTTGATGCTGCTGAACTCAAGCATTAACCTGTGGGAAGATTATGTGCGACAAAGCGAACATTTCAAACGTGCAGATTCCGCGAATTAAATGTATTTGTTAAAAAAACGGTGACACTGTGGGAACAGAGTGGTTTGAGTGTCTCCATCTCCCCAAAAATTAAACCTTGGATTTATAGCATGGTAATGTTTCCATTTGCAAATGTTAGATACAAATCTGAATTAACCTTTTGAATATAAGATGTAAAGTATGTGTTTGTAAACAAATTTATGAAATTGTTAGATGTGAATCAGATTATGAGTACTTTAACTAGGAAATGATAAAGAACTCAGAAGGTATTGGGTATCGGATTATTCTTAGCAGGATTCTTAGGCTAATGATTGATAGCATAAGTTATTCAGTATGTAAATGTAGTATGTTATAAGTTTTAGTTGCTCATTGCATTTCACCATTCCTGTTGCCTTATGTTGTCCCTAAGAGAGATGACACTAGATCTGCTGTGCCTGAGACTGACTTCTTATTTGTCACATAGCTTTATAAGCATTTTAGGATGAGAATCTGATCTTCTCGTGTTATTTTAAAAAAACTTAACTCTGATGAACATTTTAGGGACATCTCAAAATGACAATGACCGTGATTTTAATTTTTTTTCGTCGATAAACATAACATGATTGCTGCTTTTCAATGGTTATGTAACTTTTTTTTCTAAAAAAAAAAGAGAAAAGAAAAAAAATATATTAAAAAAAGAAAGATAAAGATCTACAGTGTGTGGTCACTCTTTTTTTTTTTGAGAATTTGATAAGCCAGACAGGGGGCGTTCTTTTCGAGGACAACCAAGAGGCAGAAGCAGGGGCAGAGGGAGAGGAAGAGGTCGTAGTAGTAGCCACCATAGAAGCGATCCTCATCCTAGGTCGCACTTAGCTGGTGATGATGATGATGACATAGACATGGATGAAGGAAGCCAAAGATCTCATTCAAGATAGTAAGTCAGAATAGTATTTTATTTCCTCCTTTTAAACCAGTTAAATATCAAAATAAACTTCTATTTAGGGTAAAGTCTGCTTTTATATATTAATACAAGGATGACAGTTACCATATTTGCTTGATTAAATGGGAGCTGACAGATATTAAACGTTAAGGATTTCTGGTGCAGCAAGTGGCCCTGCCAAGGGTCTAAAGCCATAAAGTCACCTTTTCAAAATTTACTATAGAGTTGACTCCAGTTATTGTGGACACTCTTTGGGAGGAGATTTAGTGTCTATAATAGTGAGAGTCCATAATAGCAGGGTAGGAGAGAAAAAAAATTGTTTTGCTTTTAAACTTATGAAGTAATATGTAACTACTCAAACATTAAGTTTCTATTGTGGCCATAAGCAGGTAATTCTCATGTGTGCCTTAAATTGAAGAATGGTTTCTTTATTTTCTTTTATCTTAGTGTTGCTTTATATCATGTGAGTCAGGATTTAGGACAAAGTATTTAAGTGTCCACTATAGCGAGAGAAAAAAACAAGTGAAATATCACACTGGGGGGCATGAAAGTGTTCATATTTCCACAATAGTGAGTGTCTGTAATAATGGGAGTTTGTGTGTTTAGCCAGTGGAGCTGGCTCTTGCCCACAATGGTGGGGTGACTGTAAAAGCAAGGTGTGGGCAGGGAAATAGTTGAGTGTAAATGTATACTGTATTTTCTCCATTTTCATAAATTTACATTGCATCACTTTTATTGATATGAATGTTTTTTTTTTTTTTTAATGTAGCAACCCTTATTCCAGAAGACCTCCATCTCGTCGTGGTGACAGAGGAAGTAGTAGAGGTGATATAAAGTCTAGACTAGGGAGAGTCCCTGATGGAGCCACAGGAAGTCAAGGAAATAAGTCTGATTGGTATAAAGTTGTGGTAGGTATTGAAATAATCTACGTACAGTTACAACTACTTATATTTATTTTGTTCCTTCCATAATTTGGTTTTGGAGATCTTACTTGAAAATTGGCCTCCATATATTCCATTGGTATAACCTTGATTTATAATGGTAATAGGACTGAGTGGACTCCTATTCATGATGGTAATAGGACCGAGTGGAGTCCAATTCGGTCTGTAATCATACAAGTGATTAACAAAATTGGATGACGGTGAAGTGAGAGTCTGATTTGTTAATCACTAGTATGATTACAGACAGAATTGGACAACTTGAAGTCCTGTTACTAATCAATCAAAACTATGACAAAATTTGAGAAAGAAACAAGACATCAGTTTTATATTTTTATAAAAAAAGGAACAACAGCTAAGTTGGCAAAATGCAAGACAACAGCACATGCGCTTGATGCATTCTATCCACTCATACAAGCATGACGTGTTGACTGTCCCTTTAGCTGTCCTATTACACTGTCCAATTACAAGCATGATGCTTACACTGTCCAATTAGTGCCCAAATCAGGCTGGTGATAGCGATTCAAGTTTGGGAATTTTGTTATACATTTGATGAGATACATGTAAATGATATAATCCTTGTTGCCATCTCCCTAGCATGTTGAACCTTTTGCTACTCTGTTTAAGTGTTCGAAAATTACTAGTGTGCATGAAAATTGGAATATTTATAGCAATGGAGAAAAACAAACATCTCTGTTATTGTTTTTGCAAGTGGTATGGTAAGGATATTTCATTGCTGCTGCTCTAAGCTACTCATATAATATGTAAGACATTGTGATTGGTGCACAGAGCGTTGAAATTTCTGTCAAGGTGTATAATTTTTTTATTGTTATATTTCTTCCTTTATATAATTTTCTTTTGTATTCTATTCAATGTAACTTGTCTATAGATACCACAGGGGAAAAAACACGACAAAGATTGGCTTATCAAGAGACTGCAGAATACATGTGAAGAGGCCTTCCAACCAGTTAGTGTAAGTGACTGTCAGTGAATACCTCCTCATTGTCAAGTGAATAGGGCTTTGCTAGCTGTATGATTGATGATCCCCAAGGGCATGAGACAAAGTATTATTTAACTCTGAGGAGCCAAAGGGACACAAAATCACTTCCTGTTTCATTGCAGTTTTGGTAGGCAGTGTTCTCCTTTTTGGGCAGTAACCAGTTACATTTACCGCCTGTAGTACCTCTTATTACTGTTTAAAATTGCTTGGAATTCTTGAAAATTCAACAGGTAAAAGGATTGCTTTACTGGTTTGAAAATCTATTTTACCTGTCATGCTTAAAATAAGGGAGAACACTAGGTGGGGCAAAATGTTTCTCAAACAACTAAACTTTTCAAAAGATACATACAGGTGTATGTGTAGGATGTTTCAGGTAAAAAATGGCAGGTGAATAATAATATTTTCCTCTGGCTGTAATTTTATTGTGACTCAGGTAGCTGTACTCTGATTGCATTTCTTCTTTTTTGCTGGTGAGACCTGCCAGTAATTGAGATTGTTTTCAATAGCTTATGGAAAAACATTGTTTTTATAGTTCCATTCCTTCAAGGGAGAGTCTTCAGCCTTCTTTGTTGAGGGAAGTAAAGTTGCAGAAGCATTGAAAAGAGTTAGTCATAAAATAACTGTCAAGGATGGAACAAAGGTAATTAAAGCTACTGTGTGTTATGTACAGTACTGCTCAAGAGTAAGTTGACGATCTTGACTCAAAACTCGATCTTTGATCCTCAGCATGATCAAGGATTGAGAAGCGAGGATTACAATTCTTGCATGCAAAATGATAGAGAAGAACAAAGCATTTGATGTGCAGCTTCTCTTTAGTCACACAGACCTCTTGCACATATGTAAATATTTTCATAAAACATGAGACTCAAAAATTGGGTCTTCACTTCTATAACTCATAGTTACCCCTTTAACTTCAGGAAGTTGTCAAAAAATGATTTCTTTCATATGTAACAGTACTGATACATTTTTATGCAGAAAGATAACGAAAAGAAAGAAAACTGTCACACAGGGAATATTGGTTCATTTAACACCAAAATAATTCTTGGAGCTAAAATTACCTAAAGAAATTCAGAGAATTAATACAGTTTGTAGACCTTTAACCCTTTACACCCTAACGTCAGTATGCATATTCTCCATACTGTTCTCTATACATTTCCTAAGTTGCTGACAAGGAGAATTTGTTTAACAATCGAAAGCTTCTTTAGTTGGTGATCATTTCCTTTATTCTCGTGACCTCAATGTGTGACTCAGGGGTGACATTATAGGGAGAAAGCAGATGTGAGTCATACTTAGGGGTTAAAGGGTTAAAGTGAAAAGGTTAACATCAAAGCATCTCTTAACAGGCATCTCTTTAAACACTGATCATTGATGAACTTAGGGTGTAAGTTTCTTAAGAAACTGGTGCTGCTTCAGTGGGAGAGTATAACCTTTTGCCCTGACAAAGGGCTAACACTGGAAACATCAGCCTTTAAACTCTTCACAGTGGCCAATTTATATTTTCAACTCAGTTGATAGCACTAAATTACCCCATTAAAGAACTAGTTATGTCTGGTCACTGATGTGGTGTTTTTTAGCAATATTTCCCTCCTTGAGTTGGTAGAATATTCTGCAACCAGTGTATACATGTACATATATTTACTAGCAGTCAGTTTCATGTTATCAAGTGTCTGACTGTACATTGTCTATAATGACATTCCTTAATCATAAAAATTACAATTTCCTCATTTGTGATTGGTTTAAAAAACTCCTCTTTTCCACTAATTTACTTGCTAAGTTGTTATTGGAGAGTTTGTTATCAAATAGTTCAATAAGCCAATCACATTCAAAGTTGTAGTTTAAATCAACCAATCACAACCACTAAATAATTTATGTCACCTTTGTTAGTCTTTTAATGCAAATTTTCCCTTTCTTTCATGATCTGGCTATTCTTCTTTTTGCAGAAATTATAATTTTTATAATTAATTGGTAATTATGATAAACAGATCAGACCCCCACTGCATGGGTGTCTAATTTTGTTATCACTCGTATGATTACAGACTGAATAATTGGACTCCACTTAGTCATATTACCATTACCATCAGACCACTGTTACCCAGCTAATAGCATCATATGAGAACCATCCACCAAATGATACTTCTACACTCAAACCATTTTCTGTTGTCTGTTTATCACATGTAGCTGATAGTAAGTGTGCGTCCTAGTGCTCCACCCCAAAACCAAACCAGTAATTTTCCTGTTCGTGAAGTTCATGATGGTAGCAGCAGAGGAAGTGATTCATTAGACGATGGCACAAAACAAGTATTGAAGGCAAGTAATTTATGCATAACTATAGTTTGTATTCATCATCATCATTATTCTTGTTGTTGGCATTATGTTCATTATTGTGTTCTCTGGCATTGTTTAAATTGACAATTCTTTCATGAGTAACACTTCAAATTGAACTCTTTCTTGTCTATCATGTTTGGAAGTTACACAGTGACTGTACATGTAGGTGTTGCACAATGGAATTCCCAATGGCTTTATTGGCATAGTTGTTAGTTAACCAAAATAGGATGTAAGCTGTCAAAGCTTTCCTGTAAGTGAAGAATAATCCTGATGAAAAATTTGCCCACAAAAATGAGAAAAGTAAACTATGGAAATATAAGATAGTATTATAAACACTAACTAAAAATCCCTTGTTCATGGTTCATAAATTTTATGGGTCAACATTATTTGCACTTGAATGTTTCAATAATCTGGTGACCAAGAACATTTACAGTTGATACACTGTCAGGTGCCCCAAATGTTATTTAAAATGGGACAATGGAATTAATCTTAAGAGACTGATTAGCAACTGTAGTCAGTAGCAAATTCATTCCTAAGTTCAATTATTAAGTCTCTAATAGCTGAATTGTCTTCTCTTTCACTGTTTCATAAAATGTAGGATTGTCTCAGTAAACGTTATGATATTACAACAAAAGCACTTGACCTCTCTGATTTGTTTCATGATGAAGGTACGTTACACTTGTACTTCTGTGACTGTATGCCAGTTATGTCTTATCTAAAGAGTTGCATGGAAAAATACTGTAAATGACATCTGACTTTTTCTGATTCTCCTTCCAAACATCTTGTAATTCTTTGTAAAACATTAGGAGAATGAAATGTTGCATCAAAAGTTAGGGTTTTTTTTTTTAATACAGCTAAAGTCCTAGCCTCACCTTATTTGTTCTAAGTTGTTACTTGTAGCTACATGTATTTTGAAATGTCACATGTGAGTGTGTTTTGAAATACCCTGTTATTTCCCATGCCAAATCCTTTCATAGTGAAAAATAAATGCATTAGAGGAAGTTCAGTTGTACTGAGTGTGCAGAAAGTTTAGGTTTAATGCATATTATTTGCAGTTTTTAATTTGAATTACACAAGCACTGATGGATTTGATGCAAACCTAAAACAGGAATTTCATGATTGTTCATGGACAAGATTGTGGAGTGAATTTTTTCCATTCTAAAAAGTTTCTTCATGCTTATTTTTTCCACATTTCTTAGAAAATCATTTGGTTACCTGCACTGTATAACTATTGTGTTACAATGCATAGCATTAGGATAACTTTGCACACACAAATCTTTATTATCTTGTTTACCCACTATGTTGTTCAGCATTTTTTTGTCATTCAGCATTTTTTCAAACCTTCTTTAGCTTTTGTAGTGCTTGGCAAAAAACCCTTTATTCGTGGTTAGTAATGTATGATGACTGCCTTGTTCAATTTTTGTAAATTCTCCTACAAAGGATGTGTAAGAAATGTAAAACAGCAGTCTCATATAATTATGTATAATCATGGCAGTTATGTTTATTTTACTTCTAACAGTGCTGAAATTAAATAATATACAAGGAATACTGGCAAGATATTGGCTGGCATCAGGAATTGTGAAAATTATTGGAGAGAACTGCCCTGAGGTGATTATTCAAAATTTATCAGTTTATTAGATACAAAATGAACTAGATTGAAGGACAGGTTCTGGAAAGTTGAGGAGAGTGAAAAATTCACTAGGTGAGATAAGCAAAACTTGGGTTCTACACTAATATGGCATGTGAAATGTCTGTCTTGTGAAACTGCTTGCTTAGAAAGCAGATTGGTTCTTTGGGGTCAGTTGAGCCTTGGTTTAGAGACAGAAGAAATAGGGTGTGATTCAATTTCCTTTGTATTCACTTGTGGTTATGCTAAGTGAGCAATCCACAATCATCATAGATGTATGTCAACAGAAGAGTTTGGAGATCGTGCATTTAATCAGCAAAGTAATGAAGTAAATAAAGTTACATCACTGTCACCATTTGTTTACCTCTGTAAATATTTCCCATGTCATTCGTTCAATGTAGGTTCAGTCACTTGACCTAAGTAACAATCGACTGAAGAGCTTGGATGGATTTAAGGACCTTGGGAAGGAAACATCAAACTTAAAGCACATTAAGATCTCCAATAATCAAGTTAGTAGCATTATTCTTAAGGAGTTTGTAACCATCACCTCTTCAGTTATTATGTTTGTGTGATCTTGAATACATGTAGATAATGTGCTTTCTCTTTTTATCCCTGGTTCAGCAAAAGAACTGTGCGGAAAGTCACAGAAACTCTGGCTTAATTTATTCTTTGTTTGAAAATTTTTCAAACCAATTTTATTTTTAATATCCTTTGCCTTTTTTCATGTTTATTGTAATTTGAAACAAAAGGAATTCTGAATCTAACTGGCTTGAGAAATTTAAAACCGAGAAAAATGTATAAGTTACATCAAAAAAAAAATTATCCAAAAATACCTTGTTTCTGTGATTGTGCAAAAGCCATTTGCAGAAAATATCTTAACAACCTTCTCTCATTTTTCTGTGTGTTAATGGTTTAGAAGCTGTTTAAATATCAATTTTATATTTTAGCATTGCATTAAAGAGTTAGGACACATTTACACTATAATTTAAAACCAAATCTTATCCCCTTGTGCAAGCTTTTTGAATCCAGTTGACAAATTTAACATGAATTTGTCCAATTGCACTCAGAGGTGGAAAGTGCTACATGTTACATTGTATAACTAGCATTTATTCACAGTTTTCAAATTCTTTTAGCTGAGAGCTGTAGAAGAACTGGACAAGATAAAGTCCTTGAGTCAGCTTCAAACCATTTCACTTGATGGAAATCCTCTTTGTGATATATTTCAAGACAAACAAAATTCATATATCAGGTATGTCTCGCTAGTCCATCAGCTTCAACTAGAATGATATTTTTGTTAACCATTTTTTGATTTTCTGTTGCCAAATGGCCACTTTGACAAACCTTGTGTTTGGAGCAATGCATAGTAAATTTCCTACCTCTTAATTTTAATTGTTTTAAGTGTTCAATTCACATGGAACTGGGCTTACTGTATGAAATTTGAGATCACTGTAATTTTTAACTCAACAAAGTTTTATTTAATAAGTGTAAAGTCCATCCTTCTGCTAACACTCTACATGTAGCTCTAGGGTCAGCAAGCAAGCCCAGCCTTTCCTTCTCATGGGATTATTCCATAAACAGCTTTCATTGATTATTATCAGTTAATATCAGTCTAACAGTACATTTGCTGTGTTGTATTTAGTGCTATCAGAAGCAGGTTTCCTAAAATAACCACTCTGGTAAGGGATATGTTCTTTTTTTACTCACTGTATGTTCAAATGATTACTATCTTTTAGTTTTGTCCAAATTTAATTGCAATGCCTGTGGAAATTTACTTTGTTTTGATATATATTTTTAAAAAAATCCCAATTATCTTCAATTTCTATTTAAGAAGATTAAGCAAATGATTGCTTGTTACAAAATACCAAACAATAGCTATACACTGAATAAACCCAACAGTTTTATTTGACATTGCGAAAGTTATTTACTCCTTGGGTAAAATTTGGTTTTCATTTACCTCTGTTTACATGTAATTTCTTTGCCATTCTTGGTAATGTAAGCATGGTTTTTCTTGTGTAACTATGGGATTTTGTCTACCTGGTAATGTATCTTGTGCAACTGTAGTGGGAGGGGGGGGGGTGTGAATGGAGTTGAAGAAAATCTTGCACTAAAATAGCCCCTATGGTGTTATTATCAGGATGGTCATGAACTTCCTCCACCAATAGGATTTGACCTTCCTTCTGAAGAATCTCTACCTGCTTCAAAGGTACTTTGTTGTTATATACATCGCATGTGTTTTTTTGTTGTTGTAAAACTAACAACTGATTTAAGTAAACTTGTTGAGCTACGGCTGTGCATGTAGGTGCTTGGTCCCACTGATTCTGTCTTTGTCTTATTTGTCACAATGTATATGTGTGTGGTGATTGTGAATGAGTGATTGTTTTTCTAGCTGCCATCTTTAACCCTTTCATTTCATAAATCTGACCTGTCCAGTAATTATCAATTTTATTGTTTGATTCATTTGATTTTTAGGAAAGTTTTTTTGGTGATCTGGCAGTTAAAGAAATGGTGCTAAAATTCATAGAGCAGTATGTAGCTCATCTTTTTATGTATAGCCAGAAAATTTAGATTGTGGTCTCTATCTTAAACATGGCAACCATATTGCAACAGTACAAAGAGCTGAAGCCTTTGGAGACATAAAAGCAAGCTCTTGAAAGTGAAAATTTAAGGCAACATTTGTATTTTATATAAGTGTTTTGGGGTTTTGAGGTTTTGACATATCCCAGTGAAATGGTAAGGGACATGGACACACACACACACACAGGGCTTAAAATGTGGTGGAATGATCCAGCAGAAAGGCTCTTCAATGCAATATTTCTGATCAACAACCAAAAAATTATTCAACACTAAATTGTTGTGTAAATTTCAATCTAGCTGCTATTCCAAAGTAAGGCCATTTGAATGAATATCTTCTTCATTCAATAGTTTTTCAGTTCAGCTTTTCAAAGGAATTCCCTAAGAGATAGTAAAATTGGATTTGACCAATAAGCATGTAAAAAAGTGATATAATTTGATTCATGTACCTCTGGCAAAAATTGAAAATCATCATTTCTCCATTAAAAGTTCAAGTTCACCATTAAAAGTCCAGGTAAAACTTTACACTGTAAACAAAGCTATCAAACTAAAGGTAACAAAGGAGAACGGCAGCAACAATTACCCTCACATACTTTTTTTTTTCTCTGTAACAATGGAGGAATTACCTAAGATCTGTTTTATCACAGAATTTGGCATCTTGCTTATGGGTGATGGCAGTGATGGTATTTGACAGCATTTCCCTAGACACTTCTTCCCTTTCCTTGTGCAGTGTTGTTGTCAGTTATTCCTCTTGAGTCTCTACCACACAGCAGTTCTAAATAAGGTTTTCCTCCTGTTGACAAGAACTGCTTCACCATTTTGAACACATCATATCTTCTGTTGAGTGTTCTTAAACTGGAGTACCTTCTCAGCTAAGGCTCAGAGTGTATTTGCTCTGCTTGAAAGAGATTCATTTTGGCTGGGTCAGACCAAGCATGTGATGGGGTGGTACAGGCAGATTTGTACTAAACTCCAGCTGGTCTGTTTAAACCCATGACATGGACAGAGCAGACTCAATGAATCAGTTTGCCTCTATTTGTGTCCGTGTCTTTCAAAAACATATAACTGTGGTACATTACAGAGATGCTATCCACAAGTGTTCAGTATATGAACTGGTCAACAATTACAAGGCACCTATACTTTCCAGAGTTTTAACCATTGGCTGCAAATATCAGTTTCTGCTGTGCATGTTGATTCTGTCACTGCCATCAACAAATGCAATTTCACAGCAACCTGTGTTGTCTGTTAAAGACATTATTCCAAATTATGCGTCATGACATAAATTGTAGCTGTATTCTCTTTTGGTACCAATGATGGCCTTGATTTGACTAATCACCTCAATGGTTATTTCTTAACCAAAAGTATAGAAAAACAGAGAATATGCATTCCACTTCTTTCAGGTGCCTGTTCAGAGTTTTTAAGTGAAAGACATTCTACATAATTATTTGAAGTTTCTGAGTTCTTCAAGAGCCCAATCAAAACTTTGATTTGAGTATTCACTGGTTTAATGTATTCTGGCTATTGTGAGTACTGGGGAATCAATTAAAACTCACAGGTAAACTGCCATTTAAGGAATATTATCGCAGAAAATTAAGCCCCAACTAGTATTTTACTTTCTACTTTTTTCAAAATTGAGTTTGGCTGGGAGTATTAATTTGCCATTCATCATCCTGATGTTAAAACATGAGATGTTTTGAGTATTCTTTGATGTTCAAGGTGGTGCCCCAGTCTGGCGCAATCTACCGGGCGCAACTTTATTTCTCCTTTTTAGATATTTTAAGATTTATGACACAGACAACAGACAAGGCCTTCTTCAAGCTTACCATGATCAGGTAATGGATTGTAAGAAATATCCAGTGATTATGACTTGACATGTCTTTCAGTCTTAGCTAAAGGGGTAGCTCAGAGAGGCGAACATGTTGCTTGTCCCTCTTACCCAGTTTCTCTTAACTAGTACCTTTTACTCAGTCCCTCTTAAGCAGTTCCTCTTACCCAGCGAAAAAAGATAATCATCCCACTGCCTCGTGAACCCTGAAAGCGAGGCGTGCTGGGAAAAAAATTTCTCGCTGATTGCTATTAACTTGCGACACGATTTCGCCAAGAAAAAGGAACTGCTCGTAATCTACCAAAATCGTGCAAATGCCCCGGATGAGAGTGAAGAATTTCTCGTGCCCCATGCTTGAGAGAAGGCTAGTAATCTTCTTGCAACGACACTGATTTCGTTGAAATTAAGAGTGCTGACAATTTGGTTTTTTGCAGGCAATATTTTCCATGTGTGTCAATACAGAAGCATTAGGCAAGGATCGCGGTGGTCAAAGGTCAGTGTGTTTTAGTTTAGTGAACAACAGCTGTATTCAAATCTTCCTTAATGAATAGGTCAAGTTACAGCTGTATGTTAAAACTCAATAAAAGAATCATCATCAGCTGTAGTTGTGTTATCAATTGGAGTCTTTTGCGCATGTCAAATTTGTTTTATCTCTTGACCAGGGCCCCTTCACTTGGTGATTACTTGAAGTACAGCCGAAACTTGAAAAGAGTCGCTGACCCAGGTAATGTTAACAATTGCTAAAAGTTGTTACGTTTGTACAATTACATGAAAAACATTCCATGAAGGAAAGCTATGTTTTTCGATCACCCTGCTGCAAATCTCCAAGATAGCTATTTGGAAATCACATTCTATCCTGGCCTTGGGTACAATGGAATTATTTAGTTTCATTAACTGAGTTGATAATACAGCATATGGTTTGATAATGTTAATTGGCCACCGTAGAAAGTTTTTGAAGCTGATTTTTCGAGCGTTAGCCCTTCATCAGAGCGAATGACACGGTAAGTTCCAGAGGGGAGGTGTTTTGGACAGCCATTTGCTAACTTAACCTGCCTATCAGTCACTTCCGCTTCCTTCTAGCCAATGATAGTCACGCCAGGAGAGGACCTGAGGTAAAAAGAGCAAACTAACAACACGCCATTGCGAAGCTCCCATATGGCTGAGAGGAAACGGATATGATTTGTACAGGCTGCAGCTGACGTGATATACTCTCGCTGTTTTGTGAGACACAATTGTACGTTCATTTAACAATGGATTTTGTTTGCAGAGCGTCGAAGCAGTTTTTTGAAGCACTCAAAACTCTCTGTTGTTGCATTTTTGAATGAGCTGCCCAGCACAAAGCATGATTTGTCAAGTTTCACTGTCGATGTTAGTCTGGCCTTGGTAAGTTATTGCACCGAAGTACTGTTTATAACAATCTACTGTAGCTTAGTCCATTCTTATCTATGATTGTTTTGTATTTTTGCGTAATTTACTGTACTGAGTTGTTCTCGTTTAGCTAACATCATGGGTATTTTGCCTCAGTGAATCCTGGCATTGATTCTTGTTAATTGACTCCTTACTTCGCTTTTAGAGACCTGCAGATTTAACAATAACCCTGATTAAATGCTATGTTTTTCATCTAGCCTTCCTGCTTGTCCTTTGCGGTCAGAGGATTGTTCTTAGAGAGTAAGTAAGCTATCTTAGTTTTATATCCCTGGACAAGGCTCCGGTAGGGAACAAGGAGAATAACTGGGAATGGTGAGAAGGAAAATAGACATCTGTTCACCGTCCCAGTCCACCGCTTTTTGTCGCTTTTATTCTGTTCCCTCTCTCCATTCGTTTCCCGCCCATTCGCCCTCATCTCAATGATAAACTTAGTCTCAACCTACCCTAACTGTTTTTTAATTTGGTGATGTTCTAGCAAAGTCAATGTCAACGTTGCATCAAAAGCATCGAACAACATGCCCCAAAACAAAACAGAAATACAATGTCTCGCGTTAGAGCGCTTTTCAGTGAGACGTATGCACACTGCATTTCACGTTGCCGTCAATCATGTCGCGATCCCCTCTAGAAAATAACTGTAACTCCTCGCGGAGTCCAAAAGGGTTCATTTTTGGTTCATTTTGTTTTATATTCGTATTCGGTATTCCTTACGATAATGGTTGAAGGCAGCTCAAAACGCAGCCCTAGAGCTGTTGTGTTATTGAAAAAAGCAGTAAAATGAGATTTATTCGGGAAGAGGTTTCTTTGTGCCGAGCATAAAACAAAACGAACATAGGAGTCATTTTCTTGGCATGTATTTGGTATCCGTTCTAAACCGTCAAGCATACATACAGCTAAAAACTCCGCTAATGTTCACCATAAACTTACTGGTAGTGTCTTCATCCGTCGATTTGACTTGAGTTTAATTTAACTGAATGTTTTGATATTTCAACAGACTCTAAAACATTGAGGTCTTTTACAAGAGTATTTATCGCTGTTCCTGCTGCTGGTGGAAGCGCGTAAGTAATGTTCAAAGTGCAACTGAGTATCAATAGTATTGTATAGAGTTAGAGGTGAGAAGCTCGCTTGGTGTGGAATATTTTGACTTAATATGGTCCTAAGTTAATGAAGAGCTTGATCTTACAAACAGCAGGGCTTGGAACATGAGTTACGTACGAGAATAATATGCAATATTCCTCTGTCTAATGAAATGGTACTATTGTCTATTATAGGGTGGGGTAATTGTGTTGTATTCAACTGGACTCATTATTATTTATTGCGAAACAGCACAGTAACAGAGCAGCAATCAACGAAGAAAGAGGCCTGTAGAAAATACTTTTGTTCTCTAATTTGTGGTTGTGAACCTATGTAAAGTGGACACGAAACTTCCTCATAGTACCCGAACCGAAAAGAAATTTTACCTCTACAGTTAAAAGCAATCCCTTAAAACTGCTGTAAAATTTCAGTACTTAGTTATTTATTAGCTAAAAGTTTCTAATCAGTAGTGTTTATATATTTTAGGCTGAGTATAATTAATGATGAGCTGCATATTAGCCACGCTTCGCCTTCTCAAGTGCAGGTAAGCAAATGCATGTAACTGTTAAACAGAAACTAAGAAAATTTAACGCGTATCAATCTGCAAGTCTGAGATTTTAATCATGCTTGGACGACAAGCGTTCTGGTTCGTTTCATCTCATACTCATCGCTAAACGACCAAAGATTACTTTGCCTTTAGGTAGTAAATTAACTCTTCTTTTCACCGCTTTAGGGTGCGGCTGTTGAAAGTACGATTGCCACCAACAGCACTGAAACGCTACAAGTCGTTTCAGCTATTCCTGCTTTTTCATCAGCAACTCCACAGGTAAAAAAAACCGCTTTCTTGATGATGTGGGAAGAGACGTTTAGGGATATGGCATGGCTTGTCTCTCCGTTTCCTTTCTCTTCGTTAAGTTTTTTTCCCCCGAAGATAGATGGTATACTCTTGTCGCAGATATCGAGAAGCCATATCTACAAATCTTTATCCTGATATACCCTGGTTAACTGGTGGCAAAAAACCAATTCCAGTCTCATGATGATGTTTTAACTTAAACTTTCATTTATGTGTCATGTTATCGCAGCTACGAATCGCTGCTTGGTCTGCCATTTTTAGTAATCACTCGACGTTTTTTAATAAGTTACTGATGCTTTACACGCTCCAGTAATGTATAATTTAATTGTAGTTTCTTCTTTAATGTTTCCCATATGTGAATCGGATACAACTTTGTTTGGCGAACGAGGTTCTCAAGGAGGTCACGTTGATACAATTCGCAACTAGCTGAATTCTTGTCGCGCTATTCATGGGAGAGTCGTTTTGGCAACTTAAAATCCACTCAAGACTGCGCGCGGGACAGCTTCCCAAATTTCTCACACGCCGGTTTGCTTCCTGTTTTCTTAATTCGAAATAGACAACTTTCTAAAAATCAGTGAACTGGAATTCGTTTTGCAGCAGCAGCAGATGATTCTCCAGTTTGCAGAGCGGTCGACAATGAACGTTGAGTGGTCGTACAAGTGAGTAGCATCAGAAAAAGCGTTGTTTCTCAAAGCTGTTAGTATACCCTCGGTAATGACCATTGCTAAATCTGATATAACATTGTAAGCCTAGAAGTAATAAACGTGTATCTACTCTGGACCGTATCGACGTACATGTACGGTCTTATGCCGCGTTTTGCGACTGCATCGCCGACCTTGTCCAAAAATGACAAACTTTGTAAGTCCGCACCACGCAATGTTTTCTCTGCGCGGGATCTAAGCGGGCAACCCCGAGCGGGTAAGTCATCCCATCTTACCTGCTCAGACAGCCAATCAGAACACAGGATTTGCCCACAGGTGTCACTAGCCATCTAATAGGACAACTTGTTTGCTAGCGGGAGTTGTCCTTAACTAGTTTTCAAGCAAATGTCTGTCATCTATAAGGGAAAACCTGTTACTCTGAATGTATGCTAGTACCCTTTTGCTGATGGTTTTTGTTGCCTCGTAGGTGCCTGTCTCAAAATAATTGGAACTTCGAGAAAGCCGCAATGGCGTTTTCTTCATTAAAGGTACAGTCGATTTCTGTTAAATTTAGCCTCGCACAGAATCATTTCTCCTTTGATTTCCTTCATATAGTTTTTTGTAATTTTACACTCAAAATACTCCAGCCGCAGTTAACTCGTTGGGCATCATCGTTACATTTTGACCAAAAAATAATGAACAAAAACTGATCAGAAATTATTGCGAAGATGAGCCAATCACAGCCGTGGAATTCCATCTAATCACAGCTGAACACAATAGTTTATAGGTGACGCAACTCAGTTGACCTCATCGCCAGAAGAAGACTAGCAGTATGCAGTAGAAACGTTATGATCCACATCCGAAGTGACCACATCGTGAGACATACGAGTGCACTCCTCTTTTAAAAGTGTTATTCACCACGATGACAAACCACAACTTATTTTACGATATAATTCTTTTGTATTTTAAATAGTGCAGAAGCCTCGTAGATTTTATGTTCTTCACCACAAACTACTTCTTTTCCGTTTTAGGAGAGCGGGAGGATTCCGCTAGAAGCTTTTGTAAAATAACTCCAGGCAAAAAATGCAATGCAAAATGCAAAATGCAAAATTTTTATTAAGGAAAAAAAAAAAAAGGAACAAAAACTGATCCGAAAGTTATTGCGAAGATGCGCCAATCACAGCCGTGGAATTCCATCTAATCACAGCTGAGCACAACAGTTTATAGGTGACGCGTACTTAGTCGACCTCATCGCCAGAAGAAGACTAGCAGTATGCAAAAGAAACGTTATGATCCACATCCGAAGTGACCGCATCGTGAGACAAACGAGTGTACTCCACTTTTAAAAGTGTTATTTAATTACCACGATGACAAACCACAACTTATTTTACGATAGAAATTCTATTGTATTTTAAATAGTGCAGAAGCCTCGTATATTTTATGTTCTTCACCACACACTATTTCTTTTCCGTTTCAGGATAGTGGTAGGATTCCGCCTGAAGCTTTTGTAAAATAACTCCAGGCAAAATTCAAAGCTGGATTTAGATTTTTCATTTCATCCAACAGTTCCTTTTCCAACGTCCACGATATTGTTTACATCTCTCTGAACTGCATGCTTTAACTTTGTTGCAGTTGTTGTTGCTATTTTTAAGTTATAAATTCGCGGTCGTTGAATTTTCTACAGAATATCCTTGTAAATAATTTCCTCAGCAAATCAGTATTAGCCTAGTAATAGCGTTCAGAACAGCGTATTTTATTTGTTAGCATTTAGAAGTAGACTTTTTAGAACTTTTACGACATCTGCAACTGATTTTTCCAGGTATATATTGTTAACCCGAGCTTCACAGGGACCAGTCACCGCTGTATAACCTCTTGATGTTATTGTGAAGAAATGTTGACAGGATTAAAGAATAAATTGATAACGAAGTGATCCTCATTGTGAACTGGTAAAGATAAATTACAGGAAAACAGGATTCAAAACCTTTCCTCCTGAGTTTAAGTTACAAAGTAGACTTCGAAACCATTTGTTGAAAGAAAGGCAAAATCACTGTTTCTATAAATCATATTTTCACCTATGGCTAAAAAAACAAGGATGAGATGAACGCACAGTGTTATTATTTCATTAACACTGTTCAAGGGTGAAGACGATAGTTTACATGGACACCCTAGATCCATTATCCCGTGGTATGGTGAGCTGGAGCAACTGTGTTGTGATCAGTCATGCATACTATTCCTGGATAAAACTGTGAGCTTGTGCAACCTTAACCCCGTGATGCTAGTTGGGTTGAGAAACATTGTCTCCTGCAAGAGAGTTGCGCGTTCAAAACCTTAAACTAAACGTGCTCACGTCACTAGTGGCATGAGGCCAACAAATTACACTTTGTCTTGATATTTCTAAACGTTTAAAAGCATTCTAGAACAGCAAGCAACAGGGATATTTAGATCAGAAAGTCCAACCTAGACTAACACCTATAGATTGCCTTGGGCAATATGTTTACCCAACAGAACCGGTAAAAGCTGACATGATTGTGTTTACTTTGCACTGCCATGCGAGTTGGCTTGGGGCAGAATGTAGTAAGGCTCTTGAAGTTTTATGTACTCAACCAATGTGATTCACTGGACTTACAAGAGGGATTCCTTGTTTGCACCTTTGTTAATTTTGAAGATAAAGAGAAGAAAAGTGAAAGATATGCGTGTTATTCACCATCCTACGTCGGTCCGTATTTGGAAAAAATTGTGCCCGAGGACTTGCGGCCTCAGGCGGTACACAAGACAGTAAGCACAGTTTTTCCCAATATGGACCGACCTAGGCTGGTGAATAACATTTTTATTTTTAAACCTAAAACAAATTATCGCAAAAAGAAACCTGCATAAACTGAACAATTTTTAGCAAGTAGCGAGAACAGAGAACAGAGGCAATTCATTTTACAGAGAGAGGCTTCACCGAAAAATTTTTATCTGCGTGAAGATGAAGGTGATTGCAAAGGTTTGTAACATTTGTCTCAATTTGACACCAATTAGGGAGCGCGTGGGAAAACTCAAAGTGCATGTCAACTGTCGAATGAACAACAGCACTGGTTTGGCAAACAAACTCGAGTTGGATGACTATCAAGACGATTTTTCTTCAAAAACAGTTATAGTTATCTTACGGAAATTCATATTAACTTCCATCGACGATTAATATACGAAGATTTGCCCCTGTTCAGTTTTCAACGGAAAGGAAACTCACTGTAAGTAAGTTTAAATGAATGTTTTGAAGCTGTCATAGTTTGATTGTTTGCTTACTGCAAAGGCGAGTGTAAATCTTGTCTTATTCCCACCGAAAAACTGAATCAAATGCAACCTTTTTTTCGAAACTCAAGAGGATTTAATGCGGCTTTCACCCCGTGAATTATTTCCTTTCTGCCGTGCAATCTACGGAATAAATGTACAAATTCAATGGTTTGGTTAAGACTTACCTAAAGTGTATTTGTAGTAGGACTTAAAACTTCGCTCAACTTTTTACAGTGAACAAATTGTTTTGGAGAATTCAAATATTACCCGAATGAAAGTTACATAGATTAATTAATTATAAACAAATACCTCACTTTTCTAACTTACTGAGTTACTACTTATGAAAGATTGTTATATGGCGAATTGTTTTTAGACGGCGTATCAACCCATTCAATGAAACACTTGCTATCACAAAATTAATCATAACCATTATAATTTCCTCAAATGTGATTGGTGCATCAGCTGCTTTATATTTCACTAATCACTCTGTACAGTTGTTATCGGACAGTTAGCTGTAATCGGACAGTTGAAGCAGCCAATCATTCTAAGTCCAGTCAGCTAAATCCACCAATCACAGAATTGATCACAATAACCATAGCAACAACCACTTACCCTGGAAAGAAAACTGGGAAATTTCTAAATTTTAAGCTTTAGACATGGTCCCTATTGGAGATGTTTGTCCAAAATTTTTTTTTCGGAAATTGTAATGGTTATTATTAATTGGTTACAGGACTTCGTGTCGTCCAATTCCGTCTGCAATCATACTCGTGATTGACAAATTGGACTCCCGCTTCGCGGTCGTCTGATTTTGTTAATCACTCGTATGATTACAGACAGAATTGGACTCCACTCGGTCCTATTACCATTATTAATAATGGCAATAGGACTGAGCGGAGGCCGGTCTGTAATCATACGAGTGGTTATACTAAAGTTCGAATATAACGCGTGCTGTCGTCGGTTGAAACAGCGCGCTCTTTCACAGTATAGAACATAGAGCTTTTTTCCGTTAACTGAAAGTAAAATTTCGGAACAAACGGGTCGGCAAATAGCAACAGAAGAACCAAACAAAGGTTCGTTAACATACTGAGCGCCGTTAATGACGTTATCATAACTGTTATCAGTTAGATTGCAAGCTTACTGGTGAAATTCGTAATAATCATGACGGTGTCAGAGCGACTGCGACCGTGCATGGAAATCTTCGGTCATCGCAAAGAAGCAAACCTCAGAATTCACATCGGCCGCCTTTCTTTAATTCAAACTTTGCTTTTATTCTTACAAAGTGTTTCATTGGTTTATTTTCTCTGAACCAGTCCCTACGCGTTTCAGGAGGGATTCTCCTTATATGGATATTCGACACAAGCACGAACGCGCCGAAAGCAAAAGAAGTGTCTCTTGGTCTTCACGTGGCTATCTGTGTATTTTCATCGATTTCAAACGTTTTTCCTCCCAACATGGTAAGTCTCAAGTAGTTGTATCAACTCTCAGGGATGCAGTTATTCTCTGATTTAGCTGCAGAAAGTAGAAATTTATCGAGTTTCGCAGTGCACGGCTCCAATGAATTGCTTTGGTGAAATGTTTGTATGATCATGCATTTGTTGACGTGACTCTTTCTTTTAAACAATCTTTTTTTCGGTTTTCTCATTTTAAAAACAGTATGTTCACGATCAATGCATTTAGTAGAAAGTCATTACTCATCAATCAACACCCTTGTTGTTATTTGGAGAAAGCCTTGCCAGGACTTAGCAAATAATCCGTTGAATTCGAAATTATGTAGTCGACATGTAAATTTAAGATTCTCAAACTCAAGTTCTCTCTAATGCTTGTAAAAACTAGCAAAGACTCTGAGTGACAGAGATCGCGTAGTCTGCACTGGTTATATAATTTGCAGTAGCTGGAGAAAAATTCTGGTCATCATTTTCTCAGAAGAATAGTGAAACTTCACCCATGATGATGGAGAGCGCTAGCAACAGCGTCCTCCCACTTCCGGAATTTGTAGTTTATCATGTTTTGTATAATTTCATCTCCACCACTGGTCTAAAGAAAGCGATAGATGCACCATCCCTTGTATGGTGATACAACAAGATGTCTAATAATATCCCTTTCTTTGAGGGAAATTTTGGCTCAAAGAACTATTACTATTTTCACAGTGATGATGTACCTGTGAACTCTTCAAGAATACATGAGAGGACACTCTTGTCTCTAACACGGAAGTTTCAATGGAATTAGATGATAAGCTGAATTGCACATGCATTTTCATTAGTTCTTTCTCATGATCCATTAGAGCATAGACACGTAGATGATGTCGCTGTAAACAACATTTTGCTTTTTTATCCTATAGAGCAATGGGTCTGTGCAGTAATAGATCAGAGAAGATGTCATATTGTGATAAGAGTTTCAGTGACTCATTCAGCTGTGCCTTGTGTGCTACATTTTTTTCTTACCACATTTTGATGTCATCTGCGATCTACTGCTGAACAGATACATGGCAACATGGAATCTATTTGTTCATTGAAACAACTTATGGAAACCCTTGCTGTTATGAGATTTCACAGACGTAAACTAAAGGAGTGTATTGTTCTCTTTGCAGAGTCACACCATTCTTCTAATTCAACCCAGTGCAAAGCCAGAATCCAGGACATACTCTGATTATGAAACTAAAGATGAGTGCATGGAAGGTAAAATTATAATAATAAATTGGATTTTAGGGGTGAATCTTCATTCCCTGTTTTCTGATTCAAATGGGAATTCTTTGTGTTGGTTCTGGTGAAGGGAGGACTGAAAAAGAACAAGAAGGTGAACCAAACCAAACTTAACCCTCAAGTAATGTCAGGTACAGGAGTCAAACCCAGGCCTCGGAGGTGGGAAGTGAGTGCTCTCCCAAGTGGCACAGTGTCATACCTTAACTTGTGAAATTCCATTTTACATACTGTACCCTACCAAATATTGAACCAAATCACTAAGTGGGGTTAAATGCTTCTTGGGTTGAACAATTCTCCCAACTTAACATTACTGGATGATAAATTGCACTATTTCAAAGAAACTCCCCTGAAAACAATTTTGCTACTGACAGTTTTGAAGTATCAGTTTTTGTGAGGATGCCTTTGCCAGTTTCATTGGTGAATCACTGGACATAGTTTGTACAGGTCATGTTCTAGATAGAAAGTTATTTTTTCTAAGCAACATTGAGTGTTTTTCATAGAAAATGTTTGGTCAACAAGGGCAAAAGTACCTGAGGCAGTTTAAAATTTTCACATTATTTTGATACACGAGAGTTGTATAATACTTCATGAAATCTAAAAAACTTGAGGAATAAGTTTTAGAAAGTTGTTAAGTTTTGTAAGCTTAAAAGAGTGTGAAAACACACATTGAATATATATAGTTTCCCTACAATAGCTTCACTTTTCAGTTAACAAGTAAGGGAATAGACAATTTAATCAGCTTGATTGGCATATCTTTTTGAAACCCCAGATTCTCTCAACTAATTTTCAAGGAAATATATAGCCACCAGATGGGGCAGTTAAGATTAGAACTTGTTTAAAAAATGTAGCAGCATCTCTAATAATATTCCATTAACTGTATCTTTCAGGAGTTTGCAAGATATTTGAAGAATACCTTAAGAAGTCCAACCCAAGCACCCCGTCAATCACATACGACATCAGCCAACTGTTCGACTATATCGACAATTTGACAGACCTGTCTTGTTTGGTGTACCATTCTAAAAACAGCTCCCTAACAAACTTGCTGCAAACCTACATTGTAGATTTGTAGGCTGTAGTTATCAGTAGTTTAGTGGCTTGATACTTTGGGTACTTGCAGGAGGCAGAGTGGTTAGGCCGCTGAACTTGTAATCTTGTGGTCTTGGGTTCAAGCCCTCCTTGCTGCTACTCACTGGATTCATTCTTGGTTGCCCCAAGTTTAACTCCTTGGCTGCATTTTGTAAACAGCTGTTTGCAGAAAGGGTGGTGGAATAAAGGCGCTAAACTGCATGTGACAACGCCAAAAGACATTGTCAGTAGTTTTCAGGTCACGGTTCTAGGACCTCAGGGTTTCAGGGAAATCAGAGAAAACATCACTGTAAGGAGAGGCCTAGGCATAGGTGTTTTATGAATTCATTTTGTTTGCAAGACTGACTTTTACTTCTTAATTTGTTGAAAAATGAAAAGAACTAACTAACTGACCCTAATCAATGATGAAAATGATGCAAACTCGACTAGAGTGAATTAGTAGACACCTTGAGAAAAAACTGTTTGCAACATAATGTTCTATCATTTTGAACTGATGGTATTCATGTCTATGTTGATATTTATCCCCTGTTCAGTAGATCATTTGTCCATATCTGTTTCTCTTATTACCAGATTACCTTGCAAGATTGTCACCTGCTTTTTTCCTTTTTTCCCACAACTTTTCTGAAAACAGCTGTATAACCAGCTGATCTGCCTCTGGCCAGTTGGAATTTTTAAAAACTCTATGTTTATTTGCAATTTGTTTGTATTGGTCCTGATAAGCTGTATTTGGGGAATGGTCAATTAATGTTATTATTACATTTAGTATTACGTGACTAGAAAAGTAGATGATCAGGTTCATATCCACACCAATTTTAAATTGTTCCATTTTGTTGTGTTGTAAGGGGCCTTACTCTCACAAAACCTTCCTCCATCCAAGTTGCTTGCAATTCTTCAGGAAAGCTTCAGTTGAGGAATTGTCTAGGGATTATCCTGTGATAGAAAGGCTGTACGCTCACAGCACTTGGCTGCTTTAGACAAGTAACACTTGACATACAACAGCCTGCACCACTTTGCTGTCATGAAAGGGCAATGACTAATCATGAGAAGTTTGGATGATGTTCTAAATTTTTAAGTATATGGGTCCCAAAACATTTTGGAATTTTTACAATATGAAGTTCCTTCTCCAGTTTTTCACAATGGGAAAGTTCTTGCCTGGAATAAACCGATATGTTGTTTTTAACAGGGAATAGTTAGTTTGTAAAATTCTTTTGTTCAATTGTTGGTTAGATTTTGATGACTTTTTGGGGTTTTGTTTGTGTTTCACTTCTCTCTCTCAACAGACAACACCCAAAGCAGACATCTTTGTATGAACCACACAACAAGGAATGGATTAAAGAAAACATTTACATCATGTTAAGAAAGCAAGCTGGGAAATGACAAGTCTTAATGAAGATCAGTGGTCACTTTTTTTTCTTAGTCTGTATCATAATGCAACTCTGGTTTGTGTGACAACCCTAGTGCTGAATGTGCTGGTGGAAAGCCGACATGCTGTGACTTCTGTGGATGTCTTGTTCTTGTACATGTTGCTGAAATATTTTCTGTGAAATGCATGTTGACTCCTTTTTTGGAGTAAGGTTTTGCCTTGGACTCATTCTCACTGTCACTAATTACATCTATGAAGCCTTTTGTCCTTTTTTTTTTCTTGTAATCTTTCTCTGGCAATATCATTCACTTCAATAAAGTTGTGAAATAAAAAAAATAAAGTTATTGAAGTTTGTGCTGCAATGTTTTATGCCCATTTGAATCTTTGAAGTATGTTTCCAGGAACTGTTGACAATACTTTTAAAAGGCAAAGACTTGTTAATGCATATTTTTTTTGTTGCATTCTAGGGCAATTATTTGACTTTTTGGGTAAAAGAAGAAAACCAGACAAACAAAATAGATATATTAGACAAAACAAAACATCATCTGAGATGTGGGAGGACATAGTAAAAGATATAAACTACTCCTTCACTGAATTGCAAGAAAGTTTTATTCACAACTTGCAATGAAGCATTTAACAGTCTGAGCAAAAATGGGAAATTCTCTTTTTAAATAACTGCACAGTTAAAGTATACCTTTTTACAGCAAGGTAACCTTAAAGGGCAGGTGATGAACCTTTTTTCCCCCCTGCCTTTGACAGGACTGATGATCTTCAATGAACAGGTAACAATTATTCACTGAAGTGGAGGTGGCTAGAGGTGAATGTTCACCAAGCTGGGAAGCAGCAAGTTAAAGATCCACCTCTGCTACCTACACTGAAAATATAGCACAAAAAGATGATATTAACTCATTTATTCACTTGTATTTGTGGGCCCAAATCCTGCATGAGTAGCTCAGAGGTGAATAGCAGAGGATATTTGGAGTTTGAGTAACCAATCAAAGCATCCCTTAACACTTTTTACTGTTTTAGTATATACTTATATTCAAATTATTGAAGGTTATGATGAATCTAATGATGAAAGAGTCAAAGATACTGTGCTTCTTCACATCTGGAATGTACAAACCACTAAAAATTGTGGTGTTTTCCCTAAAGTGGGCACAAAACTACTAATTTAGAATGAATGGACCTCTAACTCACAATTAACAAGATCTCACATGTAAATCTTCATTATAACACATCTTAATTACTTTGTTATGAATTCTGTAATGAATTATTTTGAAACTTATACACCAGGAAACCTGTTATTATACAATAAATTATTTTGCCTATAGACTCTTTTCCAACTGGTCAATCTAAACAGTCTGGGACTTCAGAACAAAGGTTACCACATAAGTGACTGACAGTAAGCTGTAAGTTCACTTGTCAGCCCAGAGCACTGACAATCACCTAAACTAGTGAGCCATGGTGATTAATGGTAAGCCTTCTTTTTTTTCTAAAATGCTCATAGTCTTGGTTTGTGAGGTCCAGAAGCATACAGCAATCTAGATGCCTCTGGTCTCCGCCGTGATTTTCGTCCTCTCCACACCATCACAACTACAATAATGACAACAGCTGTGAGGGACATAGCCAAAGCCACAGCAGCAACAGGTGGAAAGTCACCAGGAGATGACCTGTCATCACTGTCATCATTATCATTAGCAGCAACAGTATTTGTGACTGTTCTACTGTTAACTTTGGTGAACATGTATGGCTTGTCCTAAAAGTGGCAAAAAACTGCACTCAGTCAACTGTCAATGCTGGAAAGTCATTCATACAAGATATTCACTTTCACTTGTACTAATCTTGTAGGCCAACAACATTTTCAAATGTAGACATTTGTCTCCCTTAATTATGATATACATGATAAGCTGAATTGCACATGCATTTGAGGTATTGGAAGGCAGATGCATAGGTGACATCACTGCCAACAACATTGTGCTTTTTCATCATGTAAAACAAAGACTATGTTAATGTTGCTGTTGGTCTGCACAATACTAAATCACAGAAAACATCGCAATGTTGTGAGAACATCAGTGACACATGGCTGCCACCTTTTTGTTCTTACCACATTTTGATGTCATCTGTCTTCTACAGTAATACTGAATGATGACATGGAGTCTTTTTGTCAGTGGGGTACAAGGTGTATGTACAGATAGGTTTCTCTGGGTTGAATCACAAGGTTACACATAAATTCAAAGTTTGCCTCCGACTGTGTAGCCAGCTTCTCATAACCCACAGACTGTGCTTTTCTGGACCAAAAAGAATTGTTTTTCTCTTTCCTACTTCCAACTGATACCTAAAGGAATATTAATTCTTAACATTGCATACCTTAGATGGGCATCTTAAGGTCTCCTGGTCACCCCACTGCTTTGTCTTGGATCCAAATGGTTCCAACTACAATGATCATTATTTCAAATATTATCTCTGACTTCCAAATGTCATAAATTAGAACGCATAGTTTTAAGTGAAGAATTAAATAAGATAATGCAAGTTTTTTTGTCAAGTGTCAGCCTTCATCCATCTCCAAACAGGGTTAATTTTGTGGTCAAACAAAAAAATACTACCACCAACCTGCAGTGGCCTTGTATACAACCTTATCCAAAGGTACTTTTCTTATACATGTAAATTAAATTTAGTTATTTTTGCTTCAGGTGTCTTAATTATCTACCTTTTCATTAATTCCTGGCTTTCTTCACAACCATACTCACAATCTCTTTTTAATAATTGTAATTATCACTTCCCATATACCCCACACTCAAATAAATTGACTTTCAAGGCCTGGAAAAGAAATTTCCTGCAACTTTGCTGGTCAGAGTTTAGTTTCAGGGCCTATAAAACCCTCTCTTTACCTAGGATTTAGAGGATCTGCAACAACAATTCACCTGCATTAAACAAAGTGTATCATCAATTTATAGTTATAACCAACCTACCATATTGTTCCACAAAGCTAGTGCTGCTGCAGCATGACCTTGAACAGAGAAGTGCAAGCAGTCCACACCAAAAAAGGATTTCACCAAATCACCATCCTATGAAAAAAAAAATGCAGCTCTATATTGTATTCCTGAGTTGTTTACAATGTACATACTGGCAGGGTTGTAACTAAGAAATAAGGGAGCAGGCTGAAATTTTAAGAGAGGTGGCTCAAACTTGGCTAGCATTCCATTCTATATCAAACCACTATAATCTCTGCCTAATCTCAGAAATGCCTGTTGAGCTTTACTAACTAAAGGGATCACCAGCTAAAAGTCCAGCCAGTGATTGCTACTATTTCATGCAATGAATTTTGCCAGCATCCCCTGCTTAATGACAACCCTCTACTGACATTACTAATGGGAAAAACTCTTGAAAAAAATTACACCACAACTGAAGAGCACTTTCTGGGATGAAAATCTTTATCTCTAAATAGCACAAAGTAATCACCTGATTTCTTGGCGGCACCTGGAGGGCAGGTTGAATAACCACTGCAAAGTTATCCTTTGTGTCATATATTCCACTATTCACCAGTTCCTCCAATAATTTCTTTACAGGGACAGATAGAAAAAATATTACATGTTTGTCAGAGCTTTAAAACAATTTCATGAGAAGAAAAGGATTACTTTAAGCTCATAGTCAAGCAATCCTAACTTCAAAAGATCAGTGCAAACATTTATTGTAATGCATCATTACTGATTCTTATACCAAGTTCATTTGCACTGTAATTCTTTTAAGTTCAAAATATTCTCTTTATTTTACCAGTAATTATTTTACTTTTGCTGACAGTATACGTATATGATCAGCAAGCTGAGAAAATTTCATTTTTAAGTAGCATGTTTGTAAGTCAGGGTTACTATGAGAGGTCACACACTTAGAGGTAACGGAATTTTATATACGGCAGTTCTTTGCCTAATTGTGTAAAATGTTCTTCCTTGACAGGGACTAACAAAATCATGCAGATAGCTGGTAGCTACAGCTGACATTCTTAAAAAATCCCTTTCATCTATTATTCCTTTGGCCTGTAAGAGCCACTGAATCACACATTAAGGTCACAAGAAGAGAGAAAATGATCAGCAACTGAAGAAGAGCTTGAATTCTCCCTGTGAGCACCTTAGGAAATGCAGAGAGAACAGTATGGAGAATATTCATTCTGATGTTAGCATGTAAAGGATTAATCCAACTGAGAACATATTATTTGCCATTATAATACCTACAAACTGTAATTATTGTATTTAATCACTCTTTAAAATGAAGCTGAGAGTTGGTTAAAAATAAAGTTTCAACAAGTGTGCTTCAACCTTATACTGTTTGACAGCCATGGTAATTTTAGCTCTTTCTGTGGCAACCTTTCTCAAACAAGGACAAGAGCTCCTGAAAAAAAAATAAATATGTCTGAGTCACAGCTTTATAGCTTGTAATCATTTAAAATTCAATTTCTACACAAAGCTGATCTAAAAAGGAATAAGTTGTTACTGAAACGTGCATGGAGGAATTACAGTTTGCCCATTGCCCTCTACTCTGTGTACTCCTCCACCCCTCCCCCTCTACTCTGTGTACTCCTCCACCCCTCCCCCTCTACTCTGTGTACTCCTCCACCCCTCCCCTCTACTCTATGTACTCCCCACCCCTCTCCCCCCACAACCTCTCCTTAACATTTCAGGATTTTATACATCAGCAGGTTATTTCTGAGAGCTCAACAACTTAAATTTAGTCTTGCATCCTGCATAAGATCAACAAACCTTTCTCTGTGCACAATATACAATTAAAGTGAAAAGGATAAAACAATGCATTGAATTGAGTGGGGTGTATGTATCTCACAAGAAAATATTGTTATGGAACCTACCATCCCAGAATTTGGCACAAGTTGGTATTTGCTTGATGTAACTCATAAAGAGGAGAAACATCCATGGGTGGAACTAAATTCACAAACAACCTGGGCACCTAGGAACACAAAGTGACAAAGTCAACTACAGTAAATATTAAGGACAATCTGAGACTGAAGTAAATAGTCAGAATATGTCTCCTCAATTCCTACAATGGATTTGCACCCTGAACATTCATCTGGAAATACTTCATATTATCAATCTGACTAGTAATAAAATCAAAACAAACTCACCTCATTTTTTAGGTAATTTAGTGTGCGCATCATATATTTTATAAAAGAGCCAGCACTGAATTTTTCCTGAAATCATCAAAAAGTAGAACATGCATTAGTCATTGATTCAATACCACTTCGAACGATGATAAAACATACATTGTTTTGAATAAATTAATATTAATGCCTTCCTCTAATCATTTATTCATCTATCATTGACTATTCTAATCTTCCGGAAATTGAAACTCCGGTTCTATTTCTAGTTATCACCCAAATTCTTGCTAATATTATTAATTGCAGACTCTTCACTTTTCTCCAGTGGAAGCACAGCTTGTGGGAGTTTAAGGCTGATGGGTTCCTGATCCATTTGTGAGCAGCAGTTGAGCATAAAAATTAACTAATTCATTAACGACTAATCTAAACAAAGTCTACATTTGAAATCCCAATTTGATATATATTTTTTAATCAATCATCAGTAACATCTCATTGACTGGGTAATTAATAACAACTGATACAATATTTTATTAATTAATTACTATGCAAAAGGTTGATATTAGCACTGATCATTTGCGCCAGGTGAATCTTACCTCATTCTCACAAACTTGACAGAGGTCATCTGTTCCAATCCAAATTGTGAGAAGTTTCCAGTCATTCTTGAAGTCAATACCCTAGTTTAGATTCAAGCACCACAGAAATTTAAATCAATTTACTTAGACCTTTGGGTAAAAAAAAATATATATATATATTTTTTCAGTTTCTATGCAATATATAATAAACCACACCATTTGAAATGTCATACTCTGATTACCTTCATAGCTTTCATTCTTGAAACCAGGTCCTTGGCTTGATTTTCAAGGTCGCTTTATGATAAACAAAAAAAATGATTAATTCCTATACTATACCTTTATTATTGTGATCTATTAACCGTTCCACTCCCAATACCTCAGTACCCAGGTAGAAATCTTACTAAGATTCTTATTAAGATTCTTGATAGGAATCTTAATAAGAATCTTAGCAAGGTTCTTATAAGCAACTCTCCCTACTGTCTGCCATAAAATTCTTGTGATGTTAGTTCAGAGAATTTGGTAGTGGATGAACTCGGAATTTCTTGACTGGTATTTTTCTTTATTCTCATTACTTGCATACCTGATATTGTATTGATATTGTAAGGAGAAATTCTGCCTTAGTCACTCATTGGAGCCAAAGGATGAATACTGACTGTACATCTTAAAAGGAAGTTGACAGTCCCTTGCCAAAGGAGTAAGAATTTTTCTTTCAATACATGTACTACATACCTTGCAGAGGCACCAATAAAGGCTACATTAAGATCATCAACAAAATCATCGTCATCCTGTGACACCTTTGCAGATGCACCCTTTACAGATGGGCTGAATTGCCTGATGATATCTGTAAAATAGTTTAATTGATAGAAATCAAAAAAATCTTATATAATTATCACTAAATGCTGCCATATTGATATATAAAGACCATTAAAATTGTCCAGAATACTCCTGTTTTAAAATCTTTAGTACTCTTTTAATAAAAACAGAATGTCAAAAGTGTAAAACAATTGTTTCAAATTATTGATTAAAGATTTACACCTAATTTTGAAAGTAATTAAGGGCCATTAAAATTTAGACATGCTCTAGTAATAGCCAGCAATTTAATAATCATACAAAATTAAACATTAGCCAAAAAAATTATGTTAACCTTTTAACTCCCATGAATGACCAAGACAGAATTTTTCTCTAAAATGTAAATACAATATCAACCAGATAAGTAATGAGAATAAAGACATATCAATTTGGGGATAATTAGTTCATCCAATACTAAATTCTCCAAACTAACATTGTAAGAATTGTATGGTTGACAGTAAGAAGAATTACAAATTTGATCTGGGAGTTAAAGGGTTAAGTGACAGTGAAAGTAAAACAAAAGTAGGAGACTCACTTGGCACTGTTATTGTTTGATTCAGATGATTTGCTCCTCCAAGACTACCAAATGTACAAATACGGAAAGTAAAGGTAAAAAAAAATAAATAAGTCACTTTGAACAAACATTTGTTAGTATTTCACACTTCCTCAAAGACATGAAAATAATAATTCAAATTTTTTTTGTTGCATTTTACGATCTGATCGTGTTGGATTGACATGATTATGAGTTTTAAATTAAATTGCCCACATTTGACACATGGTTCTGAATGGATTTGTTGTAGTTTATAAAGATTTCAATATGCTTCAGGACTACCTTAATTAATGAACCTTGAACAAAATTAATATAAAATCATATCAAGCTATTGAAACCAGTTTCAATCAAGATCACTTTGACCTGAGATTCTGAACTCAACCTCTTCTTTTCCATTTGGTAGATTCCTGGGAAGGATGCCTTTAAGCTGGGGAAAAAGCTCTTTAATGTTAAAGGCAATGGCCCATGAACTAGGATGACATCTGTGTGTTACCCCTTTTTTTTCTGATACTTGATTTCATGGTACTTTTAATTACCTGGATTGGTGCCCAAACATATTGTTATTTACATAAATTTTAAAACCAAAAGTAATTAACATCAGCAATAAAAATATTTTTACCTCCATGAGAAATCTTTGTAATCCAAGAAAAATCCATTCACTGATGTTGCTCTTGCTCCTTGGCCAACCTTGAAAAACAAAATTGTATTTGTCAAAGGAAATGAACACCTCAAACTTCCATCAGATTGGAAAATAACAAAATTAATTTATTTGTCATGAAATAAACACATACTGTAAACAAATCTCCCATAGCTGCAATGACCTTGAAATCTGAAGCATAAAGCTGGTGAACTATTTTGTGACAAAGCAAAATAAAGACAAATGAATATAAAAGACTGCAATAATGATTAAGTTAAACTATTAATTCCCATAGGTGACCAAGAGAGAATTTCTCCTTAATTTATTGTTCTTATTATAAAAGATTATCATGGGTTGATCTAACCATATTACGCACTTCTCACCTGAGTGCCAATACTTTAACCATTTAACTCCCAAGATCTCATTAGTAATTCTCCCTACTGCCTGCTATAAAAATAATACTTATGATTTTAATTTGGAGAATTTGGTATTGGATCAACTTGTAGTCCCCTAACTGAGTTTTCATCTTTATTCTCCTCACTAGTATGCTTGATTCTGAGTTGATATTGAAAGGAGAAATTCTGTCTTGGTCACTTGTGGGAGTTAAAGGGTTAAAAGATCAAGCTAGAGGCAAAAAAATTAGCAACTGGGCATGCAAATTCTATATAAACTATTTTTTTTGAGAAATTGTTGTCTTGAGTACAGGATAAATGGGTTGGAAAAAGTCACAAATGGCTTAGGTATAAGCATCTGATTGGTTGCCAAGACTTGTACCACTCTGCACCAATCACAAAACAAAGTGTTACATACTGAGTTAGTAACAACCTGTTGTTGCAGAATGCTCTGAATTCTGCTGCACAGGGCAGTTTTCATTTGTTCCAATAGGCTGTTCAAGAAACAAAAAGAAAAAGTTATCATCAATAATCATGAAAGATGATGATGATTGAAAACTATAATTCGTTGTTAAATAAAGTTAACTAACTCAAGATTTGTAACAGTTTCAGCACTTAACAATTTTTTTTCCATAATAATTCAAGATTAAAGCTTAAAAAATTCCTCACTTACAGCAGAGGCTGGTTAAGTTACAGTATGTTAAATTCACCTTCAAGAGATTTTGTTCATCTCTCCATCCATTTATCCCAGATTTATCTTTCATGTAAGAGATGCAGGTGTGTAGCTCTATCACATTTTCTGGGGTTTTCAACATTTTAGCTGTCTCCACATCAGCCACTAGGAAGCATTAAGCAAAATATTGTTGTTAAAAAAATGTTACATATTAAACTTGTCATTTCAAAGAACCATAAATATTCCTTAAACCCCTTAACCCCCAGGAGTTATTAACATCTACTTTCTCCTTACAATATTGCCACTGAATTCAACATCAATGTCTTGAGAATATAGGAAATGACCACCAACTAGCGATTAGAGTATGATTGTTTTAACAAATTCTCCTTGGCAGCACCTTAGGAAATGTATACAGAACAGTCTGGAGAATATGCATACAAAATGACTTTGTTTCAAAGGCTTTATAATACCATGTCCCAGTACCAAACCTTAATATACAAAATATGCTGATCATGAACTTTTCCTGAAACAGCATAAAAAAACCCCTGAACTGTGCTAGGAAAAGCTACCTTATTTTTGACATGTGAACTGCTGTGCTTTTCCAACAGGGAAATTGCCTCATTCAAAATTTAAACTACCATGTAGGCTCATTCCATAAAAAATCTGGTCTCTAAAACAAGCTTAACAATTTTCCACAAATTATGTACAACACATTTATCTCACCTAGCACATTAATTGTGGCCAAAACATCACCATAGATACAGGAATAACTCCCAAGGATGTCAAGTGTAACATTTGAGAAAGAAATAGCAGTTTTGGTCATATCATCAGACCAGTAGCGTACACTTTTGACCTCTTCTACCTTGGGACCTGTTTTTTGCCATTTAACAAGTTCATCTTTCATGTCCCAATGCTTTCCCTCATTTGGTAATGGAGGGTTGATTTCACATATCAGCCTCAAGATACTTCTTGTGTGTTTCATGTCCATAACAACTTCTGAGGTATGTACATTTTCCAGTTTTGGATCATCCCATAAATAACCAACTTTCACAGAGGTGCTATTAGTTGCTGGTAATGATGAAACACAAACCAAGCCTGTTTATGGGGAACATTGAGAAGTCTCTAAGTTAGTGCTTGCTGCCATATTTCACCATAAGAGGGTAATGGAACAAGCAAAGTATGCCACAGTATTACACTGAAGAACATGGAAGAACATGCACAGCCCCATACATCATTATACATCCATATATGGGGCTTTATTATTCAGTGTATCACCAGTAAGATGTACATGCATAATTAAGTATGGGGCTGTGCGGAAATTTTTCCCGGAGCTCGAACACAGATAGTAATTTGTTAAAAAACATATGATAACAAATGAGTTTAAAATAATTTTGTACAAGTGCACTCAGTGTGGTAGGTCTCATTTGTTGCCATCAGACATGTTCAGTTTGTAACCATGCGAATACTGTTTCACTTGCTACAATCTCTCGACTTAAACACCTCACACAGAAATAATGAATGTTAATTCAAAGAGGAAAAAAAGCAGTTTTAAGTTAAAACCTGCAAGCTGATGTTGTATTTCCAAAACAATTCGCACTCTTTCACCCAAATAATTCAAACATTTTTAGTAGAAACTATGAAAAGATCTTTGGTTACTTCTTTGAAAGTTGGTTAAAGAAACACCTCGCAGCCGTCAATATTCTCCTAAGTTTTTTCAATAACTAAAATGTTACCAAAAATATTTAAATCTCGTAACTGTTTACTGTAAACAACAATCGCCGAGATTACCACAACGCATTTCCAATTTGAATCGCGAAAAAACCCTAGGCTGACTACCTAACGTAAAAAAGAAGCGTTTGTGAAGAGTTTTCATTGTCAAAAAGTGAACACGTACCGTTAATAAAGAGAAATGCATTCAAAACAGTTAGTTTCCAAGCATTTGACTGGGACGCCATCTTGCACTGGTCGTTAGCATAGTCGTCGTTGCTTAGTCGGTAAGCATCGGTTCTGTCGTTTTCGTCATCGGCTCGTGTTCGTGATGGTAGACAATCCGCGCCTTCTGGATCTATATATTTTGTCAGCGGCAACACCAAGACCACGCGGCGATTCAGTTACACGGTAGGATCAGGGTTCATATCAAGTCTTAATCCCTAATCGCAAGCCAAAGTTCGCCATGGATGCAGTTACTTTAACATTACGACCAGCTGAGGCTGACGACTTCGATGAAATAGTGAAACTTTCAGAGGGAATTTACGCAGGACATGATTATCTTCCGTTGATATTCCACCAGTGGCTTCAAAGGGACAACATAGTTGTTATACTTGCCCATTGTGGCGTGAGACTCGTCGGATTAGAGGCATACTTCGTAGTAGATGATGGCCGCACTTTCATTCATCGAGCGGGACGCGTTCATCCAGATTATCGAGGTCAAGGTATTTACAAACAGGTCGGCGAGTACTCCATTAAACACGCAAAAGAGCATTATCCTAATTTACAAAGAAAGCGGTTTTCTTCCATTCGTGACGCTGAAATTCCTGATCCGAGGAAACTTTTCGAGTTGCATATAGAAGGGTATCACGTTGGGAAGGAATTCTGTGACAAACTAAAGCAAACAGCCTTGACAAATTCGATGGAGATCAAGACGTGTGCACCTGATTATTTCGCCAATATTATTGAATCTTTACCAGCCAGGCCGTTCACGGGGAATTCTATTTTCCTCAGTAACTGGTGCCCTTTCGAGAGACTTCGATCCAATGTTGACCACATTTTAAGAGAAAGTACTGAACTCTATGTGGAGAAATGTGATGACGACGTTATTCCTAATTCTCTTAGTGTTGGCACGCTTTCCCCAAGAGTGAAATACTTTGAATGGGTCGCAGAGGTTTATGCTGATTCTCCAGATCTTTTTCAAGCTCACATCGTGCATCAACTAAAGCGTGCTTGTGAATTAATTAACGACGATTTTATTTTTACATTTACGATGCAAGACGAGAGTTTAAGTTCGCTCGCAAGGATCATCATGAAGGACCAACTAAAGTTCAAAACGGCTGACTTCTATCATAATAGGACACTGAAAGTCTATGAGACGGACATAACCGAAAAATCCCACCGTTAAAATACCCCACTCACCCTATCCTGCTTTAAGACATTTCAAACCTGCTTTGCAGACTCGTCGCCAGTCTTCATTCTCCTCTTTTGTGCCAGTGAGTGTCGATTGCGTTGCATTGTGATAGCGTTATTATCAATATAGCCGAGAAATCGGCAGATTTTGACTGAATATTCCGTTAAAGTTAGACCGTTCCTTTTTCCTTTCACCATACGTACATGAAATTTGATTGATTCTGATTGTGTAGAAGTATTTTTTGTACGTATTTGTCGCGTATTTTATGGTTCTCAAGGACAAACGCAATCACTGTTTTTTAGTATTTACTCTGAAAAACTTGAGACCAGATTTCGAGAGGGTCAAATATGATGTACGATGTAGTTTGAAGCCTTTTAAAGATATGAATGGTTGCTTTGATCCTTCTTTAACAACTCTGACTAAACGCTCTCCAACGGTACACGTGTATTATGCATTGTTGGTGATAGAGAACGTAAACCCATGATGCTTGATTTAACAAATAGAGAAGCCTTGACTGTGCTCTGTTCTGTTATAAAGCACGCAGGAAGCGGCTAGAGCACGAAAGAAGTGTAAGGAGAAACACAAGACGTAGTCGAGTGTTTCTTCCCACTTCTTGAGTGCTTTAGCCGCTTCCTAAGTGCTTTATAACAGAACAGAGCACAATCAAGGCTTCTCTATTTGTTTTATAATAAAGAATCCGTTAAATTCCCCAAGCATCACTTTCAATTTTCAAAACAAACTTTATTTCCAAAGCGAACAACAATGTCGTCAGCATGCTCTATACTCTCATAAAGCACGCTACAATAAGCCAATCAGAATCCCTGTTAGAATGGTTCAAATAATCTGATTGGCTTTACAAGACTAAAGCTGTCAAAAGTGTCAAACCATCAAAGTTCAAAAACCATCAAAGTTCACATTCTACGATAGTTTACAAATTAAAATAGTTCGGCAAGTCGAATTTAACACTTTGCCTGAAGTTTTTAAGTCTCTAATATAGAATCTTGAAGTTAAATGTTCAGTGAACTTCAGCCGAATTATGGCCCATAAAAACACGCGAGTTTTTTCACATGACAAGGTAGAAAACAAACTGTTCAAGGCGAGTGTTTTTTGAATGAACGACAGCCGAATTCACCGGAACATGAAGATCGCACGTGATGACAGTGCCGCAAAACTCGGCTGCAGTGACTTATGTGAATTGCCACTCAACGTATCGGAAAGGATATCAGAGCAAGCTCTTATTTTTTCACTCGAAAGGCGGCTGATGTAGTTTCTGAGGCTTGCTTTACTGTGATGACCGGAGATCGCCATGATGAGCGAGCCGCGATGAACTTAGCATGATCATATTCAGCGTCATGATTAGTATGAATTTTAACAATTATGCCAGTTTGGTGTTTTGTTCTGTTTTGTTTTTGAACACTGAACTTTATATACTATACGAGTGTTAGCTGTGTTTGATTTTTATTACCGTACGTAAGCTTGCAATCTAACTGAGCGTGAAAATCTTTAAAACTCGGAATGTTTATTTTGTTTTTCCTTTGAGGATGGCGCCTGGTATGTTTACAAACCTTTGTTTGATTCTTCTGTTGCTATTTGCCGGCTCGCTTCAGTTCCGAAATTTCACTTTCAATTATCGGGAAAAAGCTAAAAAGAAGTCCCGGAAAAGGTCGAACATAATACAATTTGGCAGATGGCGTGACAGCTTTAGCTCAGTTCTATGCTCTATACTCTCATAGAGCACGCTCTTTCAACCAATGACAGCGCGCGTTATATCCGAACTTTATTATAATATATGTATCCTGCGCTACTTTCGCACTCATCTCCATGCAGCATCACTGGCTTGGAGCCACTAACGGGACCGGCGCCTACGTTAGGGCAGCACTCCTAGACTATAAGAAAGCCTTTGATCTTGTAGATCACAACTTACTGATCGCCAAGCTTTACAGTCTAGGAGTAAAATCCACCGTTGTCAACTGGGTGATCGACTTTTTGCTTGTCTCAAGCTTAGCTCTGATCGTTTTACGAGCTTTACCCCAGTCCCCGCTGGAATTCTACAAGGTACCTGCATCGGCTCTTAGCTCTTTTTGGGCATGATTAATGACCTCGCTACCTCGAGCAAACCCCCTTTCTGGTATGTGGAAATTTGCCAACGACACCACGGTCTCGGAAATTGTTCCCAAGTCCGGTGCAACAAAGATCAAAGACACAGTGGATTATGTCCTTCAGTGGTCAAACGACAACAAATTCAAGCTGCACTCGTTAAAGTGCAAGGAACTCCGAATAGACTTTCGAACGAAACCGAACGAGGTCGCGTATAATTGAGGCCAATGTCAATGCCTTTGAAACCATTATACAATAACAATAACTAAAGTCTCATGCTGTCGCGGTAATATTAGTGAATCACATTCTTACTGGTTCAAAGCAAGAGAAGATTTAAAAGCAATCATTAGCCATGTTGGACCACCAACTTTATTTTACATTTTCATCAGTTGATATGCACTGGCCTGAATTACATGCACTCTTTGGTGGTGAAAATAATCGCACAGCTGAGCACATGCATCAGAATGTTATAAGCAATCTTCATATTACTGATTGGTTTTTAACTTGACGCTTGGAAAATTTTATCAAGTTTTGGTTGTATAATTCACTGGATGCAGAGTGGCACTGGTACAGATTTGAATACCAAGCAAGGGGAGATATCCATGGCCATAGAGTCGCTAAACTTGAAAATGATCCAGGGCTATGTACACTGTTTGAAAAAGCTCTTAAAGGCTATTTAGCTGAGATGCCAGTAAATAATGCAGACCCAGCTGATTTATCAGAACTAAATCGACAGAGTTGTGATGGTATAAAAGCATCAGAGATTGTCTGCTAGTATGTGAACTTGTTGGTATCCACATACCATCCAAACCCTTCAGACAATGGTACTTGGAAAAAACCGTCAATTCATCTTTGTCAGAAACATCACAATGACATAAAGAATACTGATAATGATTACATTGATTTACTAAATACTGTCCAACGACACACTCACTGCAGTTCTAATTACTGTCTTAGAAAAAGACAAAATGATTCAGACCTTCAGAGTAGGTTTAACTTTCCACTTGAACCTTGCTCATGTATAAAGCTTCAATTTGAGCCTATACATTAAAAAAAAACCTAAACAATACAACGTGAAGATAGTAACAAAGAGAAATGACGCTAGACTTGATAATCACCAACGTCTTCAACTGCAGGGCTGGAGAGCTGACTGTGACATTCAGGTAGTCATTGATTATCATGCCTGTGTTGAATATACCTTGCCAAATATCCATCAAAAGGTGGGCCACGTTCCTCTATCATGAAATCTGCATTCAATTCCACTGTCCGTAACTGTAACATTGAAAGCAATCCCACAAAACTGATTAAAAGGTAGTAATGAAGTCACTTGGGCAAAGGGACTTTTCTGCACAAGAAACAATGCATTATTTACTGTCACTGAAATTGGTCAGCTCATCCAGTGGAATACCCATTAGTTTAAATGGATCTCATAAAATAAAAGCAAATTCTCCTGAAGGTGTAAGAACAAATGATTAACTTCTTGATATTTATGCTAACCGTGCTGCGTATGCTAAAGGAATTCCCAATATGCTGAATTCAATTTTCATTACTTTTGCTACAAAGTACAAATTTGTCAACAAAAAAACTTGCAGCACAGGCAGATAATATTGTTCTTGGGGTTTTTCCGGTGTACTCTCCAAATAACAGAAGCCCAAATTTGTCCCTTTACTGTAAATATCAGCTGATCGTATATAAACCCTGGCAGGGAACCCAAGAAAATGCTTGGGGTAGTCAACCAGGTATTGATAAAATTTACATCACTGAATCAAATATTTTTAGAAACCCCATACGCAAAGGAACATGTTACTGATTGGCATGATAAGTTAAACACTGTTCAGAATTACAAGAAATATGACACTGAAATTGAACCTACTACAAAAGAATTAACTTCCTCAACGTGAGGAGCGGATTCTTTAAGCAGATCTTGTTCCTGGATTATGTGCTTCAAATATTCAATCACAAAAGATTAGTAACTCAGATAAATAAAAAAAAATGCCTTCGTAGTTAAAAATCAACAGGGATACATCAACTCAAGAAAGTTTGTTGCGAAGGGAAAATGTTGATGTCAGTACTTTTAGTGATATGCGGAAGTGTGCCTATAATGATTGCTATAAACAACACAATGCTCACAGTACAAAGCAGTTACAAAAAAAACAAAACAATAGTAAGTCAAACTATAGACTTTCCTAACAGCCTATCATAACAAAAAACAAACAAACAAAAAGTCTAAACACCCAAATGGTCTGTCAGACTTAAACATAATTAATTGCTTGATATTGTATTGATATTGTATTGATATTGTAAGGAGAAATTCTGTCTTGGTCACCCATGGGAGTTAAAGGGTTAATGAAACTTGAACAAATGTAAAATCATATCAATCTGTTGAAACCAGTTTTAATCAAGATCACTTTGATCTGAGATTTAATTCAACCCCTCCTTTTCTGTTTGGTAGATTCCTAGGAGGAATACCTTTAAGTTGGGGAAAAGCTCTTTCATGTTGAAGGCAATGGTCCATAAACTAAGATGACAAATCTGAATTACCCTTTTTTTTCTGATACTTTATTTCATGGTGTAAGAGGCGGGATGGCCTCATGGTTCGCGCGCTTGAATCCAGATCAAGTGGTCCAGGTTTGAGCCCTGGCCAGGGTTGTGTTATGTTCTTAGGCAAGACACTTTACTTCCACAGTGCTTCTCTTCACCCAGGTGTACAAATGGGTACCAACAAATATGCTGAGGGTAACCCTGTGATGGACTAGCATCCCATCCAGGGGGGAGTAGCAACACTCCTAGCCACTTCATGCTAAAGGAAAGCAGAGTTAAGCGCCAGCCCCACGGGCCACTTGGGCCTGTATAAGCCCTGGCCCCATGGGCCACTTGGGACTGTATAAACTGAAGCTTTACTTTTTATTTCATGGTATTTTTAATTTCTAAAATTTTCCTGGACTGGTGTTCAAACATACAGTTATTTATATCAATTTTTAAACCAAAAGTAATTAACATCAGCAATAAAAATATTTTTACCTCCATGAGAAATCTTTGTAATCCAAGAAAAATCCATTTACTGATGTTGCTCTTGCTCCTTGGCCAACCTTGAAAAACAAAATTGTATTTGTCAAAGGAAATGAACACCTCAAACTTATATCAGATTGGAAAATAACAAACATATTTGTTTTGAAATAAATACATACTGTAAACAAATCTCCCATAGCTGCAATGACCTTAAAATCTGAAGCATAAAGCTGGTGAACTATTTAATGACAAAACAAAATAAAGACAAATGAATATAATAGACCACAATAATTATTTAGTTAAACCATTTAATTACTGTAGGTTACCAAGACAGAATTTCTCCTCAATTTATAAATACTAGTCAAGCAGACGAGTGATGAGAAATTTAGAATTTAAGGGAATTACTTGATTTACCAAATTCTTAGAAGTAGCATTTATATAATAATTGGATGGCAGACAACAAGGAGAACTACTAAAGGAGATTTTAGGAGCAAAAGAGACAAGTAGTAAAAGCAGCAACGTAAAGCAAATGATTTGGATCTTAAATTAAATGTTTCAACTTTAACATAACAGGTGTAATTCATTTATTCCATATCCACAAGTCTGAGTATTTACAACAGCGCTAGTTCTTTGCTGCAAGGTACTTATTATAAATTAAGCCTATCATGGGTTGATCTGACCATATTACGCACTTCTCACCTGAGTGCCAATACTTTAACCATTTAACTCCCAAGATCTCATTAGTAATTCTCCCTACTGTCTGCCATAAAAATAATACTTATCATTTCAATTTGGAGAATTTGGTATTGGATCAACTTGTAGTCCCCTAATTGAGTTTTCATCTTCATTCTCCTCACTAGTCTGCTTGATTCTGAGTTGATATTCAAAGGAGAAATTCTGTCTTGGTCACTCGTGGGAGTTAAAGGGTTAACAGATCAAGCTAGAGGCAAAAAAATTGGCCACTGGCCATGCAAATTCTATATAAACTAGTTTTTTAAAGAAATTATTGCCTTGGATACAGGATAAATGGGTTGGACAAAGTCACAAATGGCTTAAGTATAAGCATCTGATTGGTTGCCAAGACTTGTACCACTCTGCACCAATCACAAAACAAAGTGTTACATGCTGAGTTAGTAACAATCTGTTGTTGCAGAATGCTCTGAATTCTGCTGCATAGGGCAGTTTTCATTTGTTCCAATAGGCTGTTCAAGAAACAAAAAGAAAAAGTTATTATCAATAATCATGAAAGATGATGATGATTGAAAACTATAATTTATTGTTGCATAAAGTTAACCAACTCAAGATTTGTAACAGTTTCAGCACTTAACAATTTTTTTCCATAATAATTTACTAATTCAAGATTAAAGCTTAAAAAATTCCTCACTTACAGCAGAGGCTGGTTAAGTTACAGTATGTTAAATTCACCTTCAAGAGATTTTGTTCATCTCTCCATCCATTTATCCCAGATTTATCTTTCATGTAAGAGATGCAGGCATGTAGCTCAATCACATTTACCACATTAACATTACCACAAATATTTAAATCTCGTAACTGTTTACTGTAAACAACAATCGACGAGATTACCACAACGCATTTCCAATTTGAATCGCGAAAAAACCCTAGGCTGACTACCTTACGTAAAAAGAAGCGTTTTTGAAGAGTTTGTATCGTCAAAAAGTGAACACGTACCGTTAATAAAGAGAAATGAATTCAAAACAGCTAGTTTCCAAGCATTTGACTAGGACGCCATCCTGCACTGGTCGTTAACAAAGTCGTCGTTGCTTGGTCGGTGAGCATCGGCTCTGTCGTTTTCGTCGTCGGCTCGTGTTCGTGATTGTGGACAATCCGCGCCTTCTGGATCTGTATATTGTCAGCGGCAAAGCCAAGGCCAGGCGCCGATTCAGTCACACGGTAGAACCTTGGTTCATATTAAGCCTTATTCCGTTATTGTATGCCGACGTTCGCCATGGACGCAGTTGCTTTAACATTACGACCAGCTGATGCTGATGACTTCGATGAAATAGTGAAACTTTCAGAGGGAATTTACGCAGGACATGATTACCTTCCGTTGATATTCCACCAGTGGTTTCAAAGGGACAACATAGTCGTGATACTTGCCCATTGTGGCGTAAGACTCGTCGGATTAGAGGCATACTTCGTCGTAGATGATGGCCGCACTTTAATTAATCGAGCGGGACGCGTTCATCCAGATTATCGAGGTCAAGGTATTTTCAAACAGGTCGGCGAGTACACCATTAAACACGCAAAAGAGCATTATGTTAATTTACAAAGAAAGCGGTCAATTTCCATTGGTGACACTGAAATTCCGAATGTAAGGAAACTTTTCGAGTTGCATATAGAAGCATATCACGTTGGGAAGGAATTCTGTGACAAACTAAAGGCAACAGCCTTGACAAATTCGATGGAGATCAAGACTTGTGCACCTGATTATTTCGCCAATATTATTGAATCTTTACCAGCCAGGCTGTTTACAAAGAACTCTATTTCCCTCAGTAACCGGTGCCCTTTCGAGAGACTTCGATCCAATGTTAATCACATTTCACGAGAAAGTACTGAACTCTACGTGGAGAAATGTGATGAGGATGTTATTCCTTATTCTCTTAGTGTTGGCACGCTTTCCCCGAAGGTGAAATACATAGAATGGGTCGCTGAGGTTTATGCCGATTCTCCAGATCTTTTTCAAGCTCACATCGTGCATCAACTCAAGCGTGCTTGTGAATTAATTAACAACGATTTTATTTTTACAATTACGATGCAAGACGAGAGTTTAAGTTCGCTCGTAAGGATCATCATGAAGGACCAACTAAAGTTCAAAACGGCTGACTTCTTTCATAACAAGACCCTGAAGGCCTATGAGATGGACATAACCGCAAAATCCCAACTTTGAAATACTCCACTCACCCTATCCCGCTTTAAGACATTTCAAACCTGCTTTGCTGACTCGTCACCAGTCTTTATTCTTCTCTTTTGCACCAGCGAGTGCCGATCGTGTTGGGTTGTGGTAGCGTTATTTTCAATGTAGCTGAGAAAGTTGTTGATGATCTTAATGTGGCCTTTCTTGGTGCCTCTGCAAGGTATATGTAGTACATGTATTGAAAGAAACATTCTTACTCCTTTGGCAAGGGACTGTCAACTTCCTTTTAAGATGTACAATCAGTATTAACCCTTTGGCTCCAATGAGTGACTAAGGCAGAATTTCTCCTTACAATATCAATACAGTATCAGGTATGCAAGTAATGAGAATAAAGAAAAATACCAGTCAAGAAATTCTGAGTTCATCCACTACCAAATTCTCTGAACTAACATCACAAGAATTTTATGGTAGACAGTAGGGAGAGTTGCTTATAAGAACCTTGCTAAGATTCTTATTAAGATTCTTATCACATCTGCTTTATTGCAAGTAAACCACTCAAAAGATCCATTATATCCACGTGTTGGGTACTTTAAGAAGACACCTCTGACAGAAACAGAGAGGTAATCCTTTTGTATTTATCTATGAAGTTGCAACACACTAAATCCTCCTTTTCTGTCTCCCGAACTTTGACACTGATTTTATCAAGCAATCAACAGGGATTGATATACTTGAGGAAGCTTGCCATAGAAATTCTGAGGTTCTTAAGTATGAAGGTTTTATATGATACTATATTTACAGCTGGTTTGTGATAAGCATTTTTTTAAATTACAATATACATGCGTGTCATTCAAAATTCCATGTTACTATATTTTTGTCCAATTTACTAAGATCAGAAACATTCAATAGAGTTTAACGCATTCAAATTGAAAATTTTTACCAATATAAGGATAGCTACATTCTGTTTTATATTTAGTTGACAGAACACGCAAATACTGAATTAAAAAAGGATGAAGTATATATGCTATGGGTTGCATCACAGACAAGCCTTCCAGCTGCAAAAGCAAAATTTATTATGTTGCTACCTACTTGTGGTATTAAAGCATGTGCTAAATATCAGTTTCTAGAGGAGAATGATGAACAGTGCAGAAGCCTATGTGTACAGAAACCTGGAACTGCTGGCTTTTATGTCTTACATGTTACAAGAAACAGCACCAAGTTTTCAGCTAGAACAGCTTATTAAAGGAATGATAGGTTGAGCTCCTGACTAGCTTGATTTTATGGCCACTGTGAGTGTACTGTTGTACAAGAAGATGGAAGTCAAGTACTTCCGGTGTGTGTGATATATAGTTATGTGATGAATGCCAATGCTGAGAGCTGAACCTTGTCCCAAAAACTCATGGTATGGAACACTCCAATCGTAAGGTATCATTTCAGTAACTACAGGTAGTATTTAAGAAACAAGATAAGCAAAAAGTTGTAACAGATTGAAAGAAATATCATTTTTACTTTATCTTTCTTTTTAGTGAAGCAATGACTTCACCCTAACAACATCAACAGGGACAGTGGAATATAAATTCCTGAAGCGTTGATGCCCCCGATCAAAAACACAACAACCGGAGAGACGTACGACAGCGGACTGCCGAGGATCGAAACGCGCCAATCACAGCTGTGGAAAAAACAACCAGTTACAGCGGAGCATCCTGCTTTATAAGAATGCCCGAAACCTGTCGATCTTATCGCCTGATGAAGATTGACAGTTTGCAGTCGAAACGTCGCGATGCACATCATAAGGGACGACATCATGTGACAAACGTTAATACTTTATTAATAAGACTTGAACTAAAAGTTGTAACGGACTGAAAAAATAAATTTTACTTCATCTTTCTCTCTAGGGAAGCAATTATATAATTTTATTCTTGAAACATCACAAGCTTCAAATTTGCCAAATGTGAACCTTCCATATTTTTTTTTTCTTCATAAAAACAACCAACCCCTAACTTTGATTAACCAAACTGAATCATGTAATAGAAAGAGGCTGAAGCAAACTCAGAGCTTGTGTTTTCAAGGTTCAAATTATATCATTGCTTTGCTTCTCTTTTTCTCTTGATATTTAGGAGGGATGTGGGTATTCGATTCATATGCATGTGTTTTCAGTAAACAGATTCTCTCAGTTTTCTGCTCTTGTTCCTCAGACATTTGAGAGTTCGTACTGGTATTCTATTGGGTTCTCGATCACGTCTAAATACACGATAATGTTTACGTAGCTTAACAGTAAATCGATGATTTGATATTGCATAACCCTCGATAGAACGTTCACTCATAATAGTTCGCTCGTAAATTGACCTCTCTTAAAGTTCGCGAACGGCGGGGCCTACCCCAAACTGTGGTTACCCATGTACGTGTTTTTAGCGTCTTACACTCCATACTATTCACTCTTTCTTGGATCATCAGCGACAACACCTTCGATAAATCCGCCATTCCTCAACCATGTGCGCATTCTACGCTGACTACGCATGCGCTTCAACACGTACCCTCACAAGTGCGCTTTAGCGAGACGGCGATTTGTGGCTGCACGACAACACTAAAAAGAAAGCCCAATTCACAACTCGGGGCATTCTGCGAAGCCCGAGTAATGAATGCATCCAGATATTATATGGATTACGTTTCAAACAAAAAATATACATTTTCTTTTTTTTTCACCTTTATCGGTAGAACTCTGACAAAAAGTTCGCGTTTAATATTTGTGGTCAAGTCTTGATCGCCTGTTTGTCTGACCTTTAAGCTAAATACCTTTTGGTGGATGTTAAATGAAACAGCGACCCTTAGGTAGATGTTATTTTTCGAATGTTGATTTGGTCATTCAGTTTTTAGAAGAACAAACTTTCCTTTCTTTGTTTGTCTGACCTTCCATGAAAAGTGTTTCATTACAATTGATTTTCCTTTAACCGACTCTGAACTGCTTTATTTTCAATACAAAGTTAGGACTGCAGCTTACCTTTCTGCCCGAAATCCTTTGGACCTTTGAACAAAGTGAACTTCGTTGTCGTTTGTAATTCGTGGCTTCGAATGATTCTTTAAACGTTCTCAAAATCTTAGACGTAGCCATAATTGGCAGAAATCGTAGAATCGAAATTTCCCGCCATTTTTCGACAACGCAGCAGTTTTCGTCATCACATCGAGACTGTCCACGGTTTATTTTTAGCGTTTCACCTTTCGGTAAATTCGTGCCACCCGAAAGTTTTCGTAACGCAACACCCAAAACCGTGACCACCTTCTGGAGGATATTACTTTGACGCGACCTAGGATCTGGGGTCGTATCAAGTCTTGTTCTCTAATCGTATGCTGACGTTCGCCATGGATGCAGTTACTTTAACATTACGACCAGCTGATGCTGATGACTTCGATGAAATAGTGAAACTTTCAGAGGGAATTTACGAGGGACATGATTATCTACCGTTGATTTTCCACCAGTGGCTTCAGAGGGACAACATAGTCGTCATACTTGCCCATTGTGGCGTTAGACTCGTCGGATTAAAGGCAAACTTCGTAGTAGATGACGGCCGCACTTTGATTCATCGAGCGGGACGCGTTCATCCAGATTATCGAGGTCAAGGTATTTTCAAACAGGTCGACGAGTACTCCATCAAACATGCAAAAGAGCATTATCCTAATCTACAAAGAAAGCGGTTTGTTTCCATTGGTGACACTGAAATTCCGGATCCAAGGAAACTTTTAGAGTTGCATATAGAAGCGTATCACGTTGGGAAGGAATTCTGTGACAAACTAAAGGCAACAGCCTTAACAAATTCGATGGAGATCAAGACTTGTGCACCTGATTATTTCGCCAATATTATCGAATCTTTACCAGCCAGGCTGTTTACAAAGAACTCTATTTTCCTCAGTAACCGGTGCCCTTTCGAGAGACTTCGATCCAATGTTAATCACATTTTACGAGAAAGTACTGAACTCTATGTGGAGAAATGTGATGACGACGTTATTCCTAATTCTCTTAGTGTTGGCACGCTTTCCCCGAGGGTGAAATATAAGCAATGGGTCGCTGAGGTTTATGCTGATTCTCCAGATCTTTTTCAAGCTCACATCGTGCATCAACTAAAGCGTGCTTGTGAATTAATTAACGACGATTTTGTTTTCATGTTTGCGATGCAAGACGAGAGTTTAAGTTCGCTCGTAAGGATCATCATGAAGGACCAACTACAGTTCAAAACGGCTGACTTCTTTCATAACAAGACACTGAGAGTGTATGAGATGGACATAACCGAAAAATCCCACCTTTAAAATACTCCACTCACACTATCCTGCTTTAAGACATTTCAAACCTGCTGCTGAATCGTCACCAGTCTTTATTTTCCCTTTTGCACCAATGAGTGCCGCTTGTGTTGCGTTGTGGTAGCCTTTTTTTAAAATATAGCTGAGAAAGCGACAGAAATCGGCAGATTTTGACTGAACATTCCGTAAGGGTTAGGCCTTTTTTCTTTCCTTTGACCATAGGTACAAGAAATTCGATTTATTCTGAATGTGTAGAAGTAGTTTTTGTACGTATTTGTCGCGTATTTTATGGTTCTCAAGGACAAATGCAATCACTGTTTTTTTAGTATTTAACTAGACGCTCGAGGAGCGTTCACTTGGGCTTCGTATCGAGCGTTTTACTTGAGCATTCACCTCTGGATAGTTTGGTATAATTGAATCTAATCATGTCTCGCATATTGGGGCTCTATATTCATTTAAGGGGTCATCATTTTCTTCTTCGTTACTCTTTAATTTATCATTTTCTCTTGCATCATACCCCAATGCAGGACCACTATCTGTTGTTACATTGTTTGATGTAGCTTGTTGATGTGTATCATTATCGTCTGCATCATTTTATAAAGTTGTTAGGTTGCTATCAATATTGTTAATATCAACTAGTATGTCTTTGTACAATGATTATGTACTTTGAGCCAGTTAAGAACTTGCTATATTAACTCTGGTAGTGATGCTTGAAAATATACATGTCCTCTAGATTGTAACTTTCTTTTAAGCTTAATTATTATTATACAAGATCTGTCAGGTGGATGAGGGAGTTGATTACATGTCTGATCACATTCTACTGGTACATTGCATATTGCACCCTTAATTTTTCCCTGTTGTCCTTTATGCGTGACCACAATCTTCTCAAATACTATTTGTTGAGCTATTCGTATTTGTTCTAGTTTTTCTAATGAGGATAGTTCTGTGGGTATTTCATCCACATACATATTCCCATTCACTACAGCCTGGCACGGTAAATTTCCTTTTATAACCTTTGAATGACATGTGTTGCATATATACTGTTTTCCATAAAATGATGGTTGAATTATGAAATATGTTTGGCAAGGGTACTTCTCGTCTAGGCATGTAATTACTGATTTCTTATAGAGTATTCGATTACAGACAGTACATATAAAAGGCTTTAATGGGCCTTAGTGGCCAATGGGGCCGGTGCTTAACTCCAGTTTTCTTAGCTCTACTCCCCCCTGGATGGGATGCTAGTCCATCACAGGGTTGATTTGCTGGTACCCATTTGTACAGAGCACTGCGAGAGTAAATTAAGAACACAACACAATGACCCCGGCCACAGCCCACCCGATCCGGAGTCGAGCGCACTAACCATACATATAAAATAAGGGCCTTCTCTTATTTTCGTCTTAAACTGGTTAATACACAATTCAACTGATCTGGCTTTCACTAATTTCTCATTGAGTTGAGAAAGTAATCCTTTCTTCTTTCTAGCATCCATAGTTGAATATTTTCTTTAAATGTCTTCCAGAAACCTTTTTTGGCAACAGGTTCCATGCTGTCATACATGTTTTTTCCTCTATTTTCTCATGAAATGTTTCCTTCAATTTCAGTAATTTTACATGAACAGCAGATAGGTTGTATATCATATTCCATAGTCTGACATTCCTGTTTATTTGAATAATATTAATGATTTCCTCCAGTAGATTATCCACAAAGAGTAAATACTTGCAGAAAACCTCTGTCCAGAACCACAGGCCTCTCTAACAAAAGAATACTTTGTTTAAGTTTGATACTTAAGGTAACTTGCTTTATTTGCAAAATAATTAACATTGAAGGCATCAGTACATACACATTAATGCAACTGCCAAAATTTGTTTCAGCCAGAAACTTGTTTATTTTTTTCAATTATTAATAATCATGATGTTATCCCACTCATCAATCTGTATGGCCTTGTACAAATGTATGAAACATGTTTCTCTTTTATTTTGTTCATGGGATACTCAAGTTAAGATAAAATCTCCAATGATTATTGTTACAACCACTGCTTTGCCAAGCAACTGAGCTAAAACAGATTGAATAACTGGCAATACAGAAAACAATACGGAATACACCAATTGGTAACAGGTTCCATGCTGTCATACATATGTTTTTTTCCTGTGTTTTCTCAAGATGCGTTTCCTTTCAATTTCAGTAATTTTACATGAACAGCAAATAAATTGTATATCATATTCCATAGTCTGACATTCCTGTTTATTTTGAATAATATTATTAATTTCCTCTACTAGATTATCTACACTACAAATGTGTATTGTCTGTTTCATTGCAGGTGAATGACTGTCTTCATATGTCAGAGGAGAAAACAATTGCTTTACTTTTGTATTTTGTTGATAAATAAAAGCTATACAGTAACTTGAAATCCACATTAAAAAGCTTGTTTTCCCAGTGTGGTTCCTTAAGATCAAGGTCTCTTAAGATATTCTGCTCTCAGTTAAATTACTTGATTCTCTGTGACTTACTTCATTAATGTGTACATTTATGTTAGTGCCAAAAATTGTAACACTGTCAAGCAGGGTAACAGATATTAAGCAGTACTTACTCTGCATTGTATTGTTAAGCTGAGATCCATTTTTGATAATTGCATTTAAGGTATTTGGGTTCTAGTAATTACAAGGTGAAATGATTAAGTAAGGTAGAATAAAGAACTACTGCAAAACAGTGGTCTTTTTAACACTTGTGTTGACTTGATATCTCTTTAATACCTCTCTTACATTGCTGCTAATTGCCACATCATATTTTGAAATTTGTTAACCTTTTAGTTCATACAGATCAGTTGCTCCATATAAACTTTGAAAGTGATGCACTAAGTTGTCTGTAGATGATATATCTAATAGACCACAGGTCCCTCGAGTGTGACTTTTACCATAAACATCTCTAGCATGTGAGTCAAACACTTTAAAATGGCCATTATCAGCACAGTAACTAATACCCACAGCAATGCATCCAATCACTAAAATATATGACCTATATCATTCTAATATCAATGACTCAAAGGCTCTTTTTAGGCCCATACAGTATTGATATCCCTCAATGGTAGGCTCACCATGGACATTACCAAGGTAACTTTCACTTTTGGTTCATGGGCGTTCATCCATAGCATGAAAGATGCGCAACTATCTCCAAACTTCCCAAGTGATATCTCGATGAACGCACCGATGACGTATGAACCAATTGTTTTATAACATTTTCAACCCCATGGAAAATTTTTTTTTCTCAGGATTTGTTTGCTGTCAAGAGCGTGCACAATAGGAATATGATGGAAAAATTTACAGTTATGTTATAATGTATTCTAGCTGATAAAGTACTGTAAGCATTGATGGTAAATCTGTTAGCAGTAAAAATGATTGTCTTAATAATTGTGACAAACTGCTATATAGTTGATTTCCAATATGCATTATTTGTTTCAAGTCATTGGGATTGCCTATTCCTTTCATATTGTGGTCCATTAATGCACATAAACTCATTGCAGCACATTGTTGCCCAGTGTTTTGTCCAAATACAACAACATCCTCCTGGCTGTATGGTGCTTTTATTGTTTTCCTGGGATCCACAAGGTGCATACAAGGAACTGGGTTTTCTCTATATCATTATAGAGCTTGTTCTTTGTACAATTTCCTCTGTGAGTTACACCTTTGAACTCACTATATGGAAAATTACACAAAAGGAACCTTAAGTATTTGAGATATTTCTTTCCATGTTTATCTCTACTTGAATTGTAGACATATCTCATTGAAGAGTTAACGTTTCTTGTTCTAAAAATTGGTTTCCTTCTCATTTTTTTTGTACAAACCTGATTCTTGTTTTTTTTTCATGTTGCATTATTTTTAATAAGATCATGGACTTTCGATGACTTTGGTACGTTTTTACCTAAACGGCTCTGTACATAACTCAGCAGTTTTCTAATTTTCTGAGAGAGACGTTTTAACATCCTCACTAGTACTCTGCTTGGTTCACGATCACGTTTATAGCCATGGCATTCACACACAACACGAGTACGATTATAATATACAGACGTTGCACAACGAGATCTGAATTGTTGTACTTTTATTGACACTGTAACATCATTATGTTCATGTACATTAGTCATATTGACAACTTTTTCTTGTAGGTCACAGTCACCAAGAGTATTCACGATCGCTTGTACAATAATAGTGATTGTGTAAGAAATACCAAATCGTACTTTACAAGTATTGAACCCAATAAAAACCAATAACAGAAACAAGATATTTAACGGAAGAGCTAAGCTCAGATATTCAACCTTACCATTCAAGTTGCTTAATTCTGTCAGTATCCTTATCCAATTCGCTGTCGTTAGCGCCACCTTCGAAGTTGTGTTCACGAACATTCTTGATTTTCTCAGCAAGTGAGGTGTTCGTCTCAGCATCATAGTTTGTTGTTAAATTGGCTGTCACAGTTTTGCTAGTATTTCGAAGTTTGAACTCGCATATGGGTCATTTGTTATCTCGTGAGAACTAGTCATGATGAACTTTGCGCATTTGCCTGGCTTTTCAGCTAAAGAGTTCGTGGACCGGCCCATTCCGAAACGCTCGACATCATTTAGTGTGGGCCTACCACGAAATCGTGTGCATTTGTATCTGAGATGAGCGTATAAGACAGGAATCTTTGCAAAGCGGACTTCATAAAACACAGCATTCTGTAAATTTATGTTGTGTACGAAGAGCGAATACATAGTAACCTATCTCTTTGAAGATTGCCGGCTTTCACAACCAGTCCCCTCGATTAACTATGCACAGACATGACTCTTGTACTCATTCTAAGTTTTAGCAGGTCTTTGTGAAGTATTCTGTTCTGGAATTCTATAATGGCTCCACAAAAATTTCTTCATTTTGAATTGCGTGGTATTGAAACTCTTTACGGTTGGCTGACACAATTGCACGGGCCATCCGTTGTGAAACTGTCTCTCTGCACTAAGACACCGAAAGAAATTTATGCATAGGATTGGACTTTATTAAGGGACGAATTATCATCAAATTACACCATAGTTAAAGTTCAATTTCTAGGAATAACCTCCTTGTTTGTGAACGTGAATACTTCAGCTTGAGAGCTGTGATTCACGAGTTACTGAGGTGTGTCCATTGGATTAACCTTCATTTAAATATATGTGTTTTGAGATTTATCTCTTGAAAATGAGTTGCCCATGTAAGAACTTACGAAACGAATACATATAGCGTTTTCCAAGAATTGAATCCATATCAAAGGAAGTGATTACCACTTCAGGATTTGCCTCAGGCAAATGGAAATGAAAGCAAACATGGTGAGACACGATCAGTATTTATGCTGCATATATATCTGTTAAGTTAACAACGTAGAAACTCAGAAAAGTATATTTTTGATAACCACAGTTTTAATAAGCAATTCTGCGTTGAGATCATTTCTTAGATTAGCATTAAGTGATGTACGTAAACTGTTCGTATTTCATGTAAGCCTTAGCTGGTCACCCTAGCGAAGAGAGAAGAAGATTTCGCCGCCGCTATAACAGCTCCTTTTGCTCAAGAAAAACATTTATTATGCTTTTATAGCTCATCAGTGGCTACTACCTCAACTGCTTAGGTCAACATGTTGAATTAAACGTGATATATGTCGCAGAAGGGTTTTAACATCCTTTGACAGTCACTGTTTTTAATAATTATTGTTATTTCAAGTTTCATTTCGCTTCGAAAGAGTCTTCAATAAACAGTCTTATTGCTAAGTTCAAAGTAACTTGACTCCATTTCAGCATATTCGTTCCTTTTCTTGGTTTACAAAGTGTTATAGTTCTCGTTGAAACGTTGCTCAATGGCCACGAGACTTTGATAAACCTGTTGAGCAGTCGGTCGATTATGCGGATCGTAATTCAAGGCCTGGCGAATTAACATCTGGAGAGAGCCGAAATAGTTAGAGGAACTAGAAAACACAACGTTGAAGCAAGGGTTTATAGTCTCCATAGCAAATCCAAGGCCAATTCTTCCCGGTAAATTTAGAGTAGCAACAAAGGCTCCGTAGTATGCTTTCCCACCAATTATGACATGATCACGCTCGAGGATTGCATAAAGGAGCACTCCAAGGCCAAAGACGTCAGCCTTTGCGCTATAACCGCGACTGCTGAATACTTCCGGAGCCATGTAGTACTTTGTCCCAACCTCTGATTGCATGTAATATGGCGCGTAGTTGTTTTGAAGTTGGGTTCGGGTAAGTGCGATGTACTGGCGTGCCAAACCAAAATCCCCCAATTTGACATTCTCAGTCGCAGTCAAGAGCACATTATCTGGCTTCAAATCGCGGTGAACCACGTTACGCGAATGGAGGTGGGAGACGGCATCGGCAATTTGTCTCATCCACTTCAAATTTTTTTGGTTGGTGCTCTGTCGAGGGAGCCATTGATTGAGGTTTCCTCTCGGACAGTACTCAGTCAAAAGCAACATGCCTGTGCAACCTTGATTATCGTTGAGTCGCCCTGTCCCCAGTATGGCGATTATATTTGGGTGAGAGATTTGTTTCAGCATCTCGGCCTCGTGGATCACGTTTTGAAGACAAGAAGTATTGCAACAAAGAACATATTTCAACGCGTAGAAGTTGGAAGTTGCCACGTCTTGTACTTTGTAGACGACACCAAACGCTCCACTGCCAAGCTTGCCTTGGATTCTTAACCGTGTGTTTCCACACTGAAGTATTTCTTGCTGCATCATTGCCATAGTTCCTGTCTACTGTAAAAATGAGTTGTAACCGCGTGGTGTTGCATCTCTACAACTATGGGGTGGTTCAATTAGGTAATATCCTGTGATATTGTCCTTCAATTGTACCTATAGGGTATACTCTTAATTGTGTGTTAGGGGGAAGTCAATTCAAGTCATGCGATGCAGGTTAACGATAGTTCCCTGACGTATTTCTAGGAAACGCGATTGAAGAAGAAGAATTTGATAATTTAGAAAGGGTTCAGATAATAATACATTTTCTGGGAAGTTTGATCGAACAGTTATCGTGCATAATCGAGGCGGTATATGGATAACTTGTTTTGTTATGTGGAGTGGAAGCGACCGGGTGGAAGAACTACATAGCCCCATTGAGAAACAGAGTTTATCTTGAATGGTGTATTGTATAGACAGATTGTTAGAAGTAAATTCTCTAACACTCGTTGTTGGTTTGGTTGATTCTTCTTTAATTTCTTTTCTTCTCAAGTTGATATAACGGTGACTAGCTCCAATATATCAGGGAAAACTAGAGTCTCTGCTTATAAAGGTGACACTGCGGATGACATTTCTAAGCCGCCAATCTTCTTGTGTCGTCATCGTACCATCTCAACTAGCGAATCACGCTTGACTACGTATTATAGTTCCCACATACTGAGTATGCACTTTAGGGTTGTTTACGCAGTTACAAAGTCAATTTCTACCTTAATTTTCATATCTTTACGGTTGAGATCGGCCAGAACAGAAACGAGATCGACAATATAAAAATTACAAACAACCTTGGTTCAGAGTATTATTTATAACTGAAAGTGTATCTTAAGAGAAAACTAGACCCTGTAAGCAGGGTAACTGGGATACCTGGATGGTACTGGACCCTTGGAATCAAGTGTAGTGATACTACGGGTGTCGGACTAGTATACTAAAATAGTGCGCTCAAGTCTGGCCAGGGGCATACACCTATTTCAAAACATAGGCATGCTATGCATGCAAGAGTTACTTTTTTGTAGGGTGGGTGGATTACTTGAAACATTGTGAGCGATGTCTACATTCTTACAAAAGGAGAGAAGAATATTAATGTGGGAAAGAACGAAAGTGTCGAATTATCTCATTCACAGGTATTTTGTGGTAGATTATGTGTGTTTTGCGAATAAATGTAACCAAAAATAAACTGTATTGGTGCCACGGATACCTGTTAGTACAAAATACAGACAGCAGACTGCAGACCGGATACAAAATATAGACTGCAGACTGCAGAGTGGGTACAAAATGCAGACTAAGAATCTGAAGAGTTTTTACGTCTGGTATATAATAACATGTCATCTTACAGCTTACCGAGCGTCACGCAATTGCTTTTCTGCGATCCCCCTTCACGATTATTTGCACTATTGTGGAATATTCCTGGCCTATTTCTTGATGAAAATCGATCGCAATATTATTTTAAGCCTTGATGTGATGTCTGTACAGATTTTACCTACGCAATAAAAGTAGATGACGTGAATAACAGTGATGGTAAAGCAAGCTTAAAACGGCAGAAATCGCCAGAAAATACAACTGATACACAGGGTATGAGTAAGTTTTATTGATTTTACGAGAAAAATGTTCATATTTCGAAATATGTATCGTTGTAAATCGACCATACTTCGTTCCCTATACTATTCCTTATAACGTGCAGTTCCTCTTGTAACTTAACACTGAGTCACACAACGCGTGACGCGTTCATGAATTAATCGTTGGCTTTTTCTCGAGACGTGAGCTTAGGCCGCCTGTGACAAGACAATTGCGTAAACAATATTTAACATAATAACATTAAACACAAAAAAACACAGGGTTTTGGATCGCGTATTTATTAAAAAAGAATATCCATACAACTACAATGAAAACAAACATAAGATTCACCTTTCTGATCGTGAAATTAATACCATTCGTACTGTTATCGTAGCTTCGTTCCTTGCCATCAAGTGAATCCAACATGTCGTCTTTCTTCACATGCAGCTTACATCCATTATAGTTATGTTCTTCAGTCTCACGGTAGTAGTTTTGTTCAATAGATTGCATAGAGTATATGCAGTTTGGTTTCAGATTTCAGATTTTGCTTTTTACGACAAGTGAACGTTTTTCAACTAAGACATTGGTATAATTAGCATACAAGGCATTCAAGGCTTTCATGGCTTTCAAGCGTTCGCGACTCAATCTGTTCCAAAATTACCGCTCAATAACATCTTTCAGTGTGGATTAGCCGCGATTAATACGACTTGTATATGCGTCTGTAAGTATTTTGCGCGTTTGCGCCATAATGCTCCAGGAGATCGCAATCCAAATACGTTGAAATACAAAACAACTGACCAAAGAGTTTTATAAGCAAAATCTCGTGATTCGTCATGTGACCCGGCCCTGTCTGTGCATGACATCGTCAATCATCATCAAGATAACACGCATGATCAGCATGTGAACACCTCATTTGATCACAGTTAGTTGTCATGGTGTTGAGGGCCCAATGACCTCTTGGTACTATTGCGCAATTTTTCCATTTTGCCATTCCATTTTTTTCCTAAGCAATCCCAGTAATCACCTTTAAAGATTGTTACATAACAACATCTCGGTCACAAGAGTTAAAGAAGAAAGGCGCTCACAAGTACCGCCCCCAAATTGCTTTTGGTTGCGAAACATGAGGGGTATCACCTGTTTACCCTTAAATTACCTCTGGGAACACAAAGGTGTCGAACGCGACCTATTACCAGGGAGATTTACTCTTCCTGGACTAACAAATTAACTTATTTAAGAACATGGCTTATCACGAGTTCCATGTCAACCTCACGATCACAACGAGGAAAACGTGATTAAACTCACTAGGAGAACATGGCCAAACTCACAAGAAGAACGTGATCAAACTCAACCTTTAAGATAAGACCACCAAGAAGGAATACGAAGTAGTCAACCTGCCCTTTTTATAACTTACATTAAATGACTTAAAATAATATAATATTTCCATTCCTTTTCTTTCCAACACCAATACAGGAAACCCTTACGATATTGTAGATTAACTATAATTGTAATTTTATCATCTAACAAGATGTGAATTGTGTCCTCGTTCCCTGTCGGTCAGGTCCTCGTCGTAAAAGAGACCGAACTCGAGATACAAAATAAGCTTGGTAGCGGAGCCTTTGGCGTGATCTTCAAGGCAAGAGACTTACTTGAGAGTGAAACTGTCTTTCATGCGTTGAAAGATGTGGTGTTCTAATTCGACTTCAATTGGCAAAGCAGTTACCGAAGTGGAAACGCTTCGACGTGTGAAGCACGATTTTATTGTAAAAAGTATAGCTGCAGACCGGTATGAAGACTCACGCGGTGGATTCCACGTGCTGATCTTAACGGAAAACTGTTCTGGTGGGAATTTAAACGACAGGTTGTCTCAACCCAGCCGCGAGGAGGAAACTCTTAAATGGCTTAGCCAAATAGCGAGTGCGCTGAGCTATTTGCACTCGCTTCAGATCGTTCATCGTGATGTTAAACCAGATAACGTAATGCTGACGGGCTCTACAAGAGAGGACTCAAAACTTGGTGATTTTGGTTTAGCGAGAGAATTTCTTGCGTTGAAAAGAGTAGAAACACTGTCGGCTTCAAACTGTGGGTTGGCGCAATATTACATGCAGTCAGGGACCGGCCCTGCTCATTGGATGGCTCCTGAGGTTTTCACTTGTCACTATACGGAGAAGCAGACATCTTCTCCCTCGGTGTTCTATTCAACGCAATCCTTGTGCGAGACTTCGCTTACTCGGCTAACGAGAGGCGATGGTACGGCACATTCATGAAGATTTCTGGCGGAGTAAAACTTGGCCTCGGGTATGCGGTGGCAATACTCGGCCCAGCGGCCATGACCGAGTTCGTTCATGATCACAAGCTGAGCGAGGAGAATGGATTCCGAGGTTTGATAATAGATACTCTGAATTATGTCCAGCAGGAAAGACTCAGAGCCGAAGAAATTTACTACAGAATTGAGGAAATCGCCATAAACATCCGTCTGCAATGGTCTGATGAGGAGCATATCCACGGCAAGCGTTCAAAAATAAGGAAAGTGCGTTGGCCGAGAATAAGGAACAAATGCTCGATTAGTTAGAACTGTTTAATTAATTTGGTTAAAGAGGTTGAAATTGCTGTGTGCTGTGTAGGTACGATTGGATAGGTAATTTATCGAGTAAACTGAAAGCATATAATTTCTTCATTGATTCAGTATAGAAATGTGGTACAAAACTGTGCGCTGATACGATGATTGAACGTGAACACTGGTTTTAAATTTGATCTGAGAAAAAGACTGCAGTATTAGTGTAATATCACAAGATTGAGAGAAGAACTTACGAGGGTTAAGGACTCTACACTTGACCATTAACACCATAAAGGATGTAGATAAAAGCTTGCTCTCTCCATTGGAGGATAAAGAAGTAAATATTAGATATTGGAATACATAAATATCAGCGGCAATCATGACAATACTATCGACAGTCCTAATGAGCAACATCAGTTTTTTTTTATTCCTGTAAAGCGAATTTGATCATGCTTAAGTGGAATTTACGCCATTTAAATTTAAATAATTATTTTTATAATTACCACTGTTATTTAAATTTTAATTATAATTATTTTATGGAAAAATTCAACTTTACTGATTGCCCTTCTGATTTCCACTCCAAAAAAAAGCGCCCTTTTGTTATACGAATGTACAGCTATTGTGCTAGAAATAAAAGAATTTATTTTTTACTTACAGAACTTAGCCTGGTAAGCTCCTGGTTTCATTAGTATGAATTGACAATTATAATAACTCAATGCATGACGTACTGGATACCAGTACTTCGCAGGTAAAACCTCAGGAATACTTGGGCTCTCTGTGTTATGTTTTTTGAGTTGTTTTTCCTGTTATTATGATGTATTTTTCAAAATGGTCCCAGATGAGTCTTGGAAATTACTAGGTAGATAGTATCCAAATGTATTTGTTTAAAATATTGGTTTAACTCGCA